CACGAATAAGGCCGCATTCTTTAAGATCTGGCTGCCATGCCCGGGGAGGCTCGCTGGGCCCGCGCGCGTCATCGTCGTCACCTGGATCCTCGTGCTGCTCACCTGTATCCTGATCGCTGCTGGAGTCTGGATCAGGGACAGGAATAGCATCGAGGACTTTGATGCTCGGTTCCACCCAATCACCGATGGGTTCCTTAGGACAGAGGGGCTCCCCAGCCAACTGCGGCCGTGATGCCCATCTCTCCCACATCCTCCGAACTGCGGCCCCTCGGGCCAATGTCCATATCGTCGATGGGGCTTCGCGCTTAATATCAGCGACCGCGCCCAAGTCAGTGCACCACGCAAGCCCGCCAGTCCCTGAGAGCCAGAACAGCGGCCCCCGCGGGGCCCGCCACGCGCTTCCAAGGGGACTTAGCCTCAGAGAGTAATTTGCGCGCCTGCGTGCACAACGCAGCCTGCAGCACGTTCGGAGGTGCGGCGGCGTCTCTGCTCAAAAGGGCCCACTGGAATAGCGGCGCTGTCCACGCCTCCACCTGCGGATCTTGGAACTGCGAGCCTTGCAGTCAGGATGTCGCCCAATGTGACGTACCTGCTCCTGGCGCGCACCATGCCGTTCTCTGACGCGCACGCATTTGATCAAGAAGCCTCGGGTGAGCACCATGCACTCCCAATCCATAGGTAACAGCAGGCGGAACAGCTTGCTTAGTGAATCTGGTAAGCAACGCTCCAGCCTTCCGAAGGGTACGAAATCGAGGTCGGCGGCGAGCGATCCCAATCCACCCTCTGTCTCGACTTCGTGCACCGAATGGGCCGACTCAAAGCGACCTCAATTCCCAAGACTTCCAGAGCCGTGGCATCTTGGTACCCAAGGGACCAAGTTGATGGGATATCCAGTGCCCGAGCTCGGGGATGCTGCTCATAACTTTTCATTTGTGAGCAGCTGGCGGCAAGCCCAATATCTTAAGCACGTGCAGTAGCAACCGAATGAGCTTAAGTGACCATTCGCAGATCTTAGAGAGGGGCCCCCGAACTCCACAAGTTATGTCATCCGCATAGATCCAGCGAGCGCGGGATAGATGCGGCGCGTGCCTCGAATGAGTCAGAAGGCCGTGAGCGCCACGAAATGCAACGCAAACATGGCGAGCGGGCATCCTGGCAACACGCCTCGGCTCGCATAAACAGGCGTCGAGAGACAACTGCCCCATCCCAACCTCCTTGCCCCCGTGTACATCCTGCGCGCGAGCGGCATGGGATGGCCTGGAAACTGGTGGACGGCTGCAGCGCGCAACAGCGTGTCCAAATTGACCTTGTCGAAACACTTCGCTATATCCAGACTCGCGTGCGCTGAAGCTTCATTTAACGAGATCTGACCTGCTTCAGCCTGGACAAGAACCCTGGCGGCTACGTCGGCGGCGGCGCGCCGAGACCCCAATGCCGGGTAATTTCGCCCAAGACGTGCCGCCCAAGATCTGGCGAACATCGAGGCGCGCCTTTGCCCGTGCGCGGTATGCGGAGGGAAGCAAAGCGACGGGGCGGCACCCCCCGGACGGCTTGCCCAAGAGCGCGATATGAACTCGGGCCAACATGCAGGCCGCGCCCCAAACGTTTCACGCAGGTGCAGTCGGTGACCTAGACACGCCAGTGCCCCATTCGATACCAAGGCCGAGTGACGAGGCCTAAATCGATCAACACCTACAGCAGCACGCCTGGGAAATGGAAGGCCTGCTCGTCGCAGTTCTGAAATTGCAAGCGGAAGAAGCCGAGGTCCACTCAGACATAAGCGCTGTAGGCCCTGGAGCATAGCATCGTCCGTGTTCCCATGTGCGCTTTCACTGCTGATAGCAGGCTCCGCGGGGGCCCCGCCCCAGACTTCGGTCCAGGAGCCCCTTTGGCTTTCGCAAATATCATTTGCAGCGCTCGACGGTCCCGAGGCAGTGTGCACCTGAGCCGGGTCCCATCGTCTCGGCTTAGACCACTCGTGAATCGGCCCTGGCCGGGCACGGAGCTGATTCTGTATCCACGTCGAAAAAGGGCGCGCACGTGCAACCGGAAGTCGACGAACATCGGCCTGCGCAAGCCCTCCAAGGTAATCGCCAAGTAAACGTAGCATGTAAACGTGCCCTGAGGTAGAGGAAAAGATCTGGTCGATGAGGTAGGCGAGGATCGCCGAGATTTCCGACGCGATGTGCCTCCCCATCATTCCTTCCCTTCCCCCCTGCGCAACAAATTGGCAAAGGTGCCTCCATTCCCTGTCTGCACGCGCGCGGCCCTTGCCAAGGGCAGCACGTAGATTGTATGCTCGCAGCTGTAGGAGCCGAAGCGCGCGAGAGGCCTTTGCGGCAGCGGGCTGGAAACGTGCCCGAGCGCCTCCTGCTGTGGCCTTGACAGATCGAGGGCCCGCGTCACGCCCTTGGAACTTCAAGGCCTCGTCAGGATCGATATCGAAGAGAGGCGGCAACTCTGCTTCAACCCCATCATTATATCTGCGCACAAATCGAGTCGAGACGGGCACGGTGCAATGCAGGCTCGCCTAACTTGTGCTGGGAGTCAGAACGCGCGATGTCCACCCAGTCCATGCCTGGGCCCCCCTTGGCACGTGCGAGCTGCGGCTCGTCGTCGTCATCGCCGACGTCGGGCTTGGTCTGGGCCGAGGGCTTAAGAGGAAGAGGTTGTGGTCCCCTACGCACGTTTACTTGCTGAGTCCTCGCCCTTGGGCCCACCGACGCGCATGCAACATGGTGATTCCTTCGAGGGAACTCTGGGGCAACCGAGGGCTCTCTCGTGACAGCAGCCAGAGAGTCACTCGCAACCCAATCGTCCAAATTATAATAGTCGGCCGTTCTGGGGTCGCGGTATGCGCCGTGAGGCGTGGCGACCACTCGGGCGTTGAGACGTTCAGGACATCTGGAACTGTCAAACTGATCGGGGGCGACAATCCAATCGGCGCCGACACTGAAAGGTAACTTGTGGCGGGCCAGGCACATGCCAAGAATGCGAAGTCGCTGTGCGCTGGCCGCTGCAAGGTTGAGGCCCTGCTCAAGGTAGATAGACGCTGCAATAAACCCGTGCCCCAGGCCGCCTTGGATCAGCACGGCTACGACGTGCCCATGGTCAATCACGTGCGTTTCGCAATAGGATGATAGCAAAGCAGCTCCGATCTGTGATCGGACGAAAGTGTCCACTCCCGCGCAGTTGGTGCCAGTGTCGCTGACCAGACAGGGAGAGACGAAAGGCTTCCACCCATGCTCGGCGGCCCATTCCTGGGCACGCGCCAGCTGATCACTGCGAAGTTTGAGCTCCTGAGCGTACACCACCTGGGAGTGAGGGCCGTGCTCGAGGAAGTCCTTGAGCTGTGGCCACCCGCTCCCGTTGAAAGTGGCGATGCGAAGGTCCGTGCGCTTGCCGCCCTTGGGAGCCCTTCTCGACTTGCGCGGTCCCGAGACTCTCGCGCTGCGCGAGGTAGTGGATGCCTGCCCGTTGGTCGTGCCGTCCCCTGTAGCTGGCGCGCGTGCAACAGTGCGGGCCCCACAGCCCGAGGAAAGAGTCCCAGACGACGAGGTGTCGTGATTCTGTACGACAGCGGCCTGGGCCTATAGGGTCCCAGGTGAGACGGGCTGGAGCTCCGAGCCACAGGGCCCTCCATCGTTGATGATGGTAACCTCATTTCGCCCAATAGTCACATCTTCAACCACATCTGGAAAGTGACGGTTGACCAACCTCATCCTCTTGGCAGCAAGAGTCGGCTGGAACATGAAGGAGTCAGGCTGTGTTGGGAGCTGTAAGGTGTACACCACGTTGCGGGCGTCCTGGTTGATGGCGTCCCGCTGAGCTTGTGCTGGGGACGGCGTCTGCGCATGCGGGTCAGGCCTTTGGACGCCACCGCCTCGCAGGGGCCGTCTATGCCAGCGCCGCCTGCGCCATGCCACGGCGCCTGGTCCGATCCAGGGGGCATCGACCACCTCCACGTCTGGAGCCCCTGGACCGTCACGCCTGCGTGGGGGGGAGTGAACGCCACACCGACTCGCCTGCCGAAGCAGGATGCCAGCCTGCCCGTCGGCAGTCCCAGACAGCGGAAGAGGCCTCGTGGCAACATGCTGCGACCCTTGGGCGGCGTCCACGTCAGCCATGGGCGTCCCAGCATTAGCCTCTAGCCGTGCCTGATGCGATCCTGCTGGCGACAATGTCTGAGTCCGCTGCTGTGATATCTGATTGATCCCACTGCTGCAAGGTGCCTGATTCCTCGCACCAGCTCCCCCAGACGCTCGGGTACGACTCACCCGACAGGCACGCTCGGCATCACGAAGCTGCAATCCTGACGTGTCAATCCGACTCTGCAGCAAGGAGGTTGCATCGTTCAGATCACCATGCTCAACGCCCTGTCCAGAGGGCTCAGGATCCACGACAATGGAATCTGAAATGATAGGCTGCTGGAGTTCGAGAAGGCGTCTCGTCCGAGCGGCCACCACGATAGCAGAACCATGTAGCCTCGACGCTTCATTGACAAGGAGTCTAGCGTAGGCCTGGTTTGCTTGCTTCGTCGCAAGGTGAAGACGTGCCGTCCGAAGCTCCTGCGAACTCTGAAGAAGCTGACGACACCAGTGCGCTGGCATGGTCCGAGCACGCTGCATGTAGCCGATCATCTCCACGCGGTACTCGGCGGCCTCCGCCCAAGAATGGAAACACAGACGCAGGGGGAGGAGGAGGAGGCGGGAGGAGGAGGAGGAGGAGGAGGAGGAGGAGGAGGAGCAGCAGGAGGAGGGAGCAGGAGGAGGAGGAGGAGGAGGAGGAGGGAGGAGGAGGAGGAGGAGTAGGAGGAGGGGGAGGAGGAGGAGAGGGAGGAGGAGGAGGAGGAGGGAGGAGGAGGAGGACGAGGAGGAGGAGGAGGAGGAGGAGGAGGAGGAGGAGGCTCCTGCTCCGGCCGAGAAATCTCGCCGGGCCCTCGGGCGCGTGCGCGCAGCGGCGCCGCCGTGGCCCGCCGCGGGCGGCCGCGCGGCAGGTGCCCCGGCGCTGCCGCCGCCGGCCCGCAGCCGCAGGGAGCTCGCAGGGGGGCGAGCGCGCGCCCAGCCAAAGGGGCCCAGGGACGCCCAAGGAGCGAGATGCAGGTCTTACGTCGGGCCTGTCCCCCTACATGGGGATCTTCGACGAAAAAAAAAAAATGCCCCAAAAAGGTCGACAGATACTCGAAAAATAGTCCCCAGACTATGTTTGCATTACTTATTTGCATATTTTTGTGATATTATATATTTTTCGTTTAAAATCCCCCTGTAGGGGGACAGGCCCGACCTCACACAAGTCCCAGGCATGCCCCATTCTTTCCTGCATGTTTTGGGTGTTCGTCTTTTCCCCCACTTCCCATATAGTTGTTCTCCTATTTTCCCGGGGATCGGCAATTCAATAGTGTCTGCGATTCGTCTCCTGACATGTGCATGAGCACGGCCCCCCGATCCACGAGACCGCCCGCGTGATACGAACATCCGCGCGATGCGTACTCTCGAAACCAGTGTGGATGCATGCGACCGATGACGGAATCCCTGAACCCAAAGATGTTTTCATCCCGTGGGGGCGCATGCTTTGCTTCCGCCACCGTCCGCCGCCCTTCCACACACGCGCACTACCCCCAATGATCCTTCGGCGCAGGAGGTCTCGTGAGGGGCTCTAAACTACCGTGCCAACGGCGCTGGTATAGGCTCTATGCTAAAACAGATGCCCGACGAAGAGCGAGCAAAGGCAGGTGGGTATCTTCGTGCCCCGGCCCCGCCCCTACGCGCCCTATCTTCTTGCCCCGCCGCCCTTCCGCCGGCTTCCGCCGGCGGCGGCGGCCTCATCCTACCTCCGCCGACCTGCCGCCGCCCCTCCGCCGCCCTCCGCGGCGGCAGAGCACGACAGCTCTTTCGACCCTCGAAGGCCAAGGCCGTCAACCCAGACCCACGACACCATGATTTGTCATTACGTCGACCCCCAGAGTTCTCGACCCACTCCCCGGCGCTTGTTTTGCACCCTGAGTCCTTTTTGGTCACGGTCCCGAGGCCCGGTGAGGGCCCCCGGAGGCCGAAAATCGTGAACCACCTCCCGTCGTGTTTTTTTTCGCAGCGCTTAGGGGTCATGGGCCCTTCGATCCTCGAAGGCAAGGGCCATTCTTGGAACGCCTCCTGTGCGCGCACGTCCTTCTTGCGCTCCCGAAGCCTGGGGGCGTCGAGCCGCGCGTCAGGGCCCTTGTTGTATCGAGGACGGCGAGCAGGCCTGGTTCAAGGGTGATTTCGACGGCTGCTGGGGCGCCTCAGGTCGTGTTGGCGTGCCTACGGCCCAGACCCCCTCGAGCAATGGAAAAAACACGACGGGACGTTTTTCCTGATGTTCGGCCTCCGGGGGCCCTCGCCGGTCCTCGGGAGCATCAAAAAACGACTCAGGATGACAAGCCGGTCCCGGGGAACGGGTCGGGACCTCTGGGGGTCGACGTGACGAAAAAAATCATTACGTCGGGGCACACTGGGGCTGGAGGGGCCTCGAGTCCAGCGGAGCCGACCTTGTCCAAAGAAGCCTTCTGGCAGCCAGAGATGGTCGCCCTGGGGGCTTCGCCTGGCGTTCGATTTGGCGCCAGCCTACGGAGATGGCTGGTATCGGCCTTTGTGCCACCACCCAAGGGCCAGCAGGAGTGCTCGCGTGGGCCGTTGATTTGTCGCCTTCCCGCCGCGGCTGATCTGTCAGGGATCCCAGACCCCCGACGTCATGATTTTTTCATGACGTCGACCCCCAGAGATCTCGACCCATTCCCCGGGACCGGTTTTTCATCCCGAGTCTTTTTTGACGGCCCCGAGGGCCGGTGAGGGCCCCCCGAGGCCGAAAATCAGGAAAAACCTCCCGTCATGATTTTTTCATTTTTTCATAACTCGAGGGGGTCTGATCTGTCAGGGATGGCAGTCGCAGCGAGTCTTCTGGCAGCCTCCGGTGTCACTCGTGCCCGAGGTACTTGCCCGGGGGCCGGAGCCCCGGCAGCCGGCTGCCCGCGGCGCCGTTCAGGGTCCTGGGCAGCCGAGCCCCTCCTCCCGGGGTGCCGTAGCGCCCCTCGCTCGAGGCCCAGGCCCCCGACGCAATGCCTTCTGCATTCCGTCGACCCCCTCGAGTAACGAAAAAATCATGACGGGCGGTGTTTCCTTCATTTTCGGCCTCTGGGGGCCCTCACCGGGCCTCGGGAGCATCATAAAAAGACTCAGGATGAAAAACCGGTCCCGGGGAATGGGTCGAGATCTCGATCTGGGGGTCGACGTCATGAAAAAATCATGACGTCGGGGGTCTGGGTTACGTCGACCCCCAAAGGTCCCGGCCCTGTCCCCATGACCAGCTTTGCATCCTGAGTTTGACGCCCCGGAGGCCCGGTGAGGGCCTCGGGAGGCCAGGCCCCCCCTTCGCGTGGTGAACAAAATCACTCGGCGGGGTTATTTTTCACCATGCTCGGCCTCCGGGGGCCCGTCCCGGGCCTCGGGGCCGTGACACAGAAACGACTCGGGGCGAAAAGGCGGTCGAGGGGAGTGGTCCGAGAACTCTGGGGGTCGACGCTGTGAAGACATCACGACGTCGGGGGTCTGGGTGCCTTCCTCCCTCTTTCCCTCCCTCCCTCCTCCTCCTCCTCCTCTTCCTCCTCCTCCTCTTCCTCCTCCTCCTCCTCCTCGGGCAGGCACGTGCTCAAGAGTCACCACAATCGGCAAAACCAGCAGTCAATGTCCCAGCCTTCTCCGTCTACGCCATGGCAGAACAGAAGTGGCCAGTGGTATTGCTCGCGACGTGGGTCCTTGCATCCCGCTTCGACTTCCTGGTGCACCACCTGCCTCCCAGTCTCGAACAAGGGCCAACGCAGCAAGCCTCGTACGAGGTGTTCTTCCGGGCCACCAGTTCGCAGTAGAGTTCACGGCGCAGTGGCGTCTCGGTCAGAGGCCAACACCGTCGTCAAGAAGAGAGTCGCCACGCTCGGAAAAAAAAAGCCACAGGCTGTGGGTTGAGCCACCAGCATTGGCGGCAGATCGAAAGGCGCATCGCCAACACATCAAGTCGGCTAGTCAAGCGGTGGAGCAGCAAAGCACCGCTCAAGAAACTGTCTGCGCGGATTTCCCGCTGTTGGAAGACACGGGGACGAAACACGCCGTGTTCCAATTCATACATTTGTTCGCGTACCCGCTGACGGAGAGGGTCGCCAACCAGTCTACCTCCCACACGCGGCTCACCAAGCGTTTCGAAGATGCCCAGGAGACGGAGAGAGAGGCAGATATTGCCGTAGCCGCAACTCAAAAACATCGAGAGGCGCTTGCCAGCTAGGTGACGCATGCGCAAGAGTGCCCAGCTTCGAAGAAATCGCCAAGGAGAAAGAAGATAATGAGGACCAGCCCAAGGTAGTCACGTTCGGCACTACCGAGAGCACCCCGTCGTCGCCATTCCAAGCAACGCTGGCTCCCACAGTTGCTCCACAAATCATTTCAGAACTTCAAGCTGGTCAGGTCGAAATTCGATCGACCATTTCAGCATTGAGCGGGCATCTTGCATCTATCCAGGCAGCCATTGGTCAATTTGCAATCCAGCACGCAGCAGCAAGCAGTCCAACGGCATCGCCCACAGCGGCAGTTTCGGCAACGCCAGCGCCACAGGGAACTCTTCCATGGCACGTCGGTAACGGTGGAGTCATCAAATCATCGGACAAGGTCTCAGTTGCAGCGCGTCAGTTCGAGCAAGCAGCTACGCGACCAGGCCAGCAACGCATTGCGGTCTCGCGAGGGCGGCAGCGGTTTCCAGCGCCCGAGGGTAGAATGGAGTCAGGGGGGCCATAGCAGAAGTTCCAGCGCTTGCCCCACGAACGAGGATGCTGAGGCCAAGCCGGACGCGCTCGCCGAGGAAGGCACCGTCCTGATCGAACGCATGTCGACGCCTTCACCATCAACGCCGCAGGCTTTTCCTCAGCCCGGGCAGGCGCAAGGGCATTGGACGTCGTGCCGTGCCAGGTTCAAATGAAAAATCAAACGCCTCACTTCCCAATGTCAAAGAATGCGCCTGCTTGGGCCCGGCGCATCATCCGGAGGATAATCCAGGGACGTCTCCTTTTCGTTGCTGCGCCTGCAGCCCCAGAAGAGATACCCCCAACGTCTACAGCGTCATGTTTGCCAAGTGGCACCGGCCCCTCAATCGTTGTGAATGAGTGATGGCCAAATACCTCAAGGGTTTAGGGTTTTGGGTTTAGGGTCCATCCAGGCTCTTCCCCAGCTGTCCACGCCTCAGGACCTCCGTGGAGTCGCTGCCGTGCATGCGTGCGCCGACGGGCCTCATGGCGGTCTCAAACTTGGCAGGCCAGCGTTGGCCCTCGCTGTCTTCCTGGAGGACGAAGCGCGCAACGTGGCGCTCCTGGGCCTCGAGGGGGGTCTCTCGGACTTCGAGGTGCCCCCGCGGATGGCCCCCCTTGCAGCTGAGCTCCACAAGGCTTTGTGTGCCTTGGCTGGGATCCCGCACTCCCCATATGCCAGCCTATGTAATGAATGAGGGTGGCGCGTGAACCGCGGCAGCGCCGCGGCCTTGCGAGCGGCTCGACGTGGGGCCCGCGGACCTTCTGTTGCCTCAATGAGGACATCTTTGAACAGCGTCGCCAAGGTCGCGTCGCATGTTGTCTCCAGGGCTTTCGGGTCGCACGCGCACGGGCATTCTGCGCATCCTTGGAACAAGATTATTCTGACCTTTGCTACCTCAATCTTCCTGGATAAGGGCGACCCCCCAAGCCAGATACTAATTGGTGTGCGTGTCCGGAATAATCTTAAGCAATGCAATGGCTATGGCTTCAAGTCGAAGCATCACAGGCGCGCGATCAGCACCCTCCACCAGCGGATGACGCGATGCCAACTTCTTACAATAATCAGCATCAAGCAAGGCTTCCGCGCTGCACCACTTGCCACGGTTCTCCGCTAGAGGCGAGTCAGACAAAATACGTGAGCAGGACGGGCTGCCGCAGGTCACATCATAACCCATTCGGGCCGCTGCCACCAATGTGCTTTCGCTAAGTTCCGGGGCCCCCAAGTTCACCGACAAAGCCTGTCTTGTGGGCTTGTGCTCATCGGATCAAATGAAACAGCTGAGCTCAGCGCTTCAGAGACGTATTCGATTCCTGGCGGGCACGATCATATCATGCACGCAGACGCTGACGCCGACCGCCGTTTTGGCTGCTCTCTCTGGGTCAACGCGGGCACCGCGGTGAGCCCAGGACTGCGCACTCGTCCCAAACACTGCTGCGCTTTGGATGCTGATCCGCGCCATCTTTCCGTTGCCATTCGAGCCGGTGGCTGCGGGGCGCGAGCGCGGCGCGCGCCCCGCGCGGCATGGGGCCTGGAGCTGCCACCGAGGCTCTGCGGACTCGGCTGGCGAATTTGGTTCGGGAGCATCGCTCGCAAGGCGTCGAACGGGTTTGCCTGATGGGCGCCGATGCCAGAGCAGGGCCTACCATGCAAAAGCACATCGGGCCCTTGGCGGCAGAGCGCCAGAATATCCCAGGGCTCCATGTTCATGCTTTCCTGGAAGAGCAGGATCAACTAGCCCCTGCCGCTTTCCTGGGTTCTGGGCAACCGTCCGCGGCCGCGCGGACCCCCCCGGGTCTCGTGGGCCCGCAGCAGGTCGGCGCATCGATTAGTTACCGGTTTGTTTGGGGTCTCAGTTGCCAGGCGGCACGTTGTGTCCGACGTCGAACTGCCCACTTCTGTCTTGGATCACCGTATGTTTACAGGTTTGGCTGCACGTTCCCCGGGGGAGCGCAACGTCGCATGTGAGCCAGGTCTCTTTGCAAATCCAGACACGATCCAAGTATTTACCCATGAGTAACAGCAGTGCCCACGAGTGCCATGTGAAGGTTCTCAGTCGCGCCCGTGCCGCGTGCTGAATGCTCTTCTTAAGAGCAGCCTCGAGCGAGCCTTCCCGGTGGAAGCCGCTCCAGGGGGCCGACGGCCAAGGCAGCCTTGAACTTCGCCGAATACGTTGGAGCGCATGGGCGCTCGCGCATCTCAGCTGAAGACAGGAGGATCGCACTTGCGTGTCTGGATCTCAGGAGGAATGCTCTACGGCCCCGCGTCTGGGCGGACGCGCCCAGAGGCCCGCGGGCGTGTCTTCACTGAGCGAGCTCTCTCTTCACTTGGACAACCAGGCCATGCCCGGGAGCCCTACCATCGCGACCATGGGGTTTCGCAAGTCCTCGGCGGAATGCATGGCCTATCTCAGGTCTTGGAGCCCGTAATTTGGCATATTCCTGAATCCCCGTCCTCGCTGCTGGTTGGAATTCTGTCGCTCGCACGTCAGGCGCGTGACTCGCTGCTCGGCCCGTCGAGCTCGAGGTCGCGACTCGCTCCGTTACGTCTCGTGGTAACCAGAAGCTAAGCAACATGCTGCGATGCTTGCGTCGGAAGTTTCGCCGGCTTGGTCTCGCAAGGATTTCAAGGGGGCCCGCGCCAAACACAGGGCCACGGAGGCCGGTTCGCGGCGCGAGCAATCTGCTGAGCCGCTGCCCATGCTATTAGGTGCCGGCCGCAAGCCGCTCAAGTCGCACGTTGAAATAGCTAGACACTTTAGCGGAGACGAGGCCGCTCCTATTATACCGAAAGCTGATTCACAGTGGTGTCTACACTATACGGCTTCCCTGGATGCGACTGTCACCCGCGGCGTGAACATTGCCGCGGAGGACGCGCCCGCCCCTGAGCATCACGCAGCATGCGCTGTTCGGGGCCAAGACGTCAGCCGCAGGCCCAGACGGCATCCCAGGAGCGGCGCTGAGGCAGCTAGCAGTGCAGATCGGATAATTTCTCACCCCAGGTACGTTAAGAGCATGGTGGAAGTATGCGAGCCCATACACATATCTGGGGGTACCCTCCAACGTCAAAAATTATCGGGGTCTCTCAGGTTGGCAAATGGTGCCGTGCTCGTCCACGCGCTTGCAGAAATTGCAAGTGATCGTCGATTTGGAGGGCTCGCTGGCCTTGGTCCGGAGTCCTCGGCGCTTGAACCAGAACTTGAAAGCAGCAGAGAAGAATCCGAGTATGATCTGATTGGCCTGTGCTGCCCAAGCCTTCTACAAGGCCGTCGGGGCAATGGTGTGCAGGACTTCCGCGGACGATTAAACTATAGCCAAGCTACTCAAGTGTTATAACCATGCTCTGAATACAATACGAAAGCTGGCCGAGAATTTGTGCGGTGCTACTCCCATGTTAGAGCTAGCTGGAGTTTCGGACCTACGTCGTGGGCAGATTTCGGATGCGCATGGGAAATCGTTGTTCTACTTCGAAGACGGGGACAGCGTTGCGTTTCATTTCCTTGGGTCGGGTCCTAGCCAACAGCTGAGGAACATTGTGTATAACTTCGTCACGGCCAGAATTTTGGCCACATCTCAAGCCACCCTCCTGGAATTAGGTGCTGGTTTACGTACTCCTGTGTTGGAATTTATTCGCTGGCGGCCTACGAGAACGCTAGTTCAGATGTTTCCGTGCCAATGTACACGTGGCGTCCTCGTAAACATACTATCAGGCTCGCCCTTGCAGCGCGAGCCCGTTTCTGTCAGAGAGAGAGAGAGAGAGTCCCCCGCACGCACAACGGAAGACGAGATGCTCGTTATCATTGTGAAGACGGGTCCGATGTGCTTGTGATGGCGAACGCCACAGACTACGAGTCCAGGACACGGAGGACGTCAACATACATAACTGTCTATTGCGTGACATGGCGTTTTCGAGGGTCCGTGTGCTTCGGTCTCAGACCAACCCCGTTCATCACTCCAGGGTGGATTTCATTTCGAATTGCCAGAGGGGCGAGCATCAGTGCAAAACATGTTTCCAACAATTTGCTCCGCGATCGGCTTTGACAACACACGTCGCGTTCGACTTTGCCAAATGCGCCGCCGGCATGTTTGTATCCGCCCCGCAGTGCACCGCTGCCGAGGCTCAGGTTTTTGGGCGAGGCTGAAGCAGATCGTTTCAAGGTTCAACGCGTTGCTGGGCAGGGTCAATGGCACACGGAACTCCCGGCTAGAAGGCCCCAGGGACTGGTCAGAGAAGATAGTATCGATCAGTTCGTGTGCAAACGTTCCACCCAAGATGCCCAAAGGTCCTCTCGAAACCCGAATCTGCCGCTCCGTAAGATAAATCGAAGGGTATCCAATGGTCTTCTCCGACGAGCCCGCGGAGGTTCAGGAATCCAGGGACGTGCCGTTTTATGTTTTCAATCCTGGGGAATCTACAAGTTCTGCTGCTGCTCAGGTACCGATTCGGATCTATAGGCCTACCTTTTTCGTGCTGAACCACCACTGTCGACGTCGCAGAGCTGGCGACATTCAGTGGCAGATTGAGTTTGCCATCAAGCCGCCGACAGTTGAGTTGGTGGTACTCAGCGATGATATCGTCATCGATCCCATCGAAGGCGACTTGACGAGAGAGGCTACGCCTTTGGAGTGGGCGGACCACATCAGGAGCCACAAAGTCATCAACCGGGAGGGAGGGCCTCCATGCGAGACATGGTCAGCTTCCAGGTGGCACGATGTGCCCCCCTTCAAGGTCTTCCAGCTACGTTTGGGGCCGACCGCGGGTGACTCAAAGACAGTCCGAGCAGCTCACAGTTGGTTCACAGCTTTCGTTCTCGCTGGCGCGCCCTCTATCTGAACATCTGAGGGCCAGGACCAGTGGCTGGCTCGAGCACCCCGCCTCCCCGACTTGAGCCCCTAAAGCCCCCATCACCTTCAACTGGCGCCTTCTGCAGGTCCTCATTGCGGCGCCTTTCGCTGCCAACACCACGTGTGACCAGTGCGAGCATCAGGATACTAAGGTCGCCCTGAAGAAGTGGAACGAGCACCCGCGACCATTCTATACATGAGGACGCCTGCTCTTCTAGGGCACCCCAAAGACACCCCAGGTCCTGGACTGTGTTCCCATGGGAGAGGGGCCGACAAGTTTCTACTTGGTAAAGACTGCCAGGGACAAATTCTCACAACATCCAAAAAGACATACCCGGGTGGCCTTCGTTTAACTCTGGCGTCGGGAATCGTTGGCTCTGCCAGGTCCCTACTGTCCTCCGAACCTCCTCCTTTTTCAGAGTTTTCTGAGATCGCCGATCTTCCTGACCTCGAGGAGGTCAGAATGTCACCCTTTGCATGTTATGTTCGGCTTGAGAAGAGTGCGCCGGCGATTTCGACCCCCGCTCCCAACTTCCCTGGCTTTCCGAGAGGGGGTCACAGGAAAATTGACCCAGAGCTGCCCCGTTTCTTGAATTCTGACTCAGAGTCCGAGCCCGACGAGGCGCGAGCGGAAGAGCAACAGGTCACGTCTCAAGCAGTGTCCCCCGAGAAGGCTGAGTCAGAGCAGGCGGTGCTTGACCTCATGTTGGGATCCCCCGAGGAACAGGCTGGTGGCTCCCCCTTCGCCTTCCCCGACCGCTCCCATCCCCCGGACCTCTTACCAGCTGGCCAGGATCGTGACTAACCGTGCGCAGGCTCGCCTCAGGAGAGAGAACCGCCGCCGCGAACAAATCGCTCCATAGGGGAAGTGAGCCCCTGAGACCTGCGTTTTGTCAGGAGACCGCCCTAGGGGACAGGGCGGTCAGAGAGAGGCTTATGTTCGACATGTACGGCTAATCGGGCTTATTTGTTGTTTCTTTTTTTTGTTCTCTCTCTCTCTCTCTCTCTCTCTCTCCCTCGTTATTTCTCTCTCTCTCTCGCGTCATGCTCAATCTTCTCTTCAAGACTCAGTCGAATAAGAATGACATGGCGTTAAGAATGACGGATCATTCCCATATCAGCGTTGCGCGAGCGAGCCTCCTCCTCCTCCTCATCCTCCTCGTTCCTCCTTCGCTCCTCGCTCCTCTTTCGTTGCTCCTCCTCCTCCTCCTCCTCCGCTGCCTCCTCCTCCTCCTCGCTGCATCCTGCTGCCTCCTCCCTCCTCCTCCTCCTCCTCCTCCTCTTCCTCCCCCTCCTCCTCCTCCTCCTCCTCCTCCTCCTCCTCCTCCTCAGGCCTCCTCCTCCTCCTCCTCCTCCTCCCCTCCTCCTCTGCAGAGGAAGCTAGCCTCACCCCTCCCCCTGTGCTAACTAAGCCCAGGCACCCCATGTCCTTATCTTCCTCCTCCTCCGCCTCATCCTTCGCCTCCCCGTTCTCCGCCGTGCCTTTCCTTTTCTTGAGAAGCAACCCCTCCCTGTCGCACCCCGAGGCCGGTCAGACAGGCGGGCTGGGCATTCTGCCGGAAACCTCACTGCCATTATGATCCTGATGCTGAAGAAGTGGCAAAAGCCTCAAAGATAGAGCGGCGGGTCGCTTCCCAAATGTGGCTCGCCTCAGCGCCGAGCGCACTTGTCTTAAACAGCTGCATAAGCTTCACGGATGGAGGGCGGGTCGTCTTCAAAATGTGGCTCCCGCCCCGGCGCCGCTCGCACTTGTCTCAACAATTGGCACGAGCTTCATGGACTGAGGGGGCGTCGTTTCAAACATGCGTCCCTCGCTCTAGCGCCACGCGAACTCGTCCTAACAAGTTGGAGGACCTTCACGGATTGAGGGCAAATCGTCTTCAACACGTAGCTCTCGCCCCAGCGACGCGCACAGCCGGCTTACACAAATCCGCCGATCCGGCGTGCGAGCTACAAGGAGCCTTAGCACAAGCTTCAGCTCTGCGCCTAAGCAAGAGGTTCAGCTCTGCTTGAAGGGGTCGCCAGGGTGGCTCTGCCGGGGAAGGGGGGGAGGTGGGTGGGGGGGCCCCATCTGGCGTTGTCTTCATGATTTGCGCAACCGGACCCCCCCCCCGGGGAAGGGGGGGGGGACCCTCCACTCGGAACCCTCCCCGACCCCCCAGGACCGCTCCAGGCACCCCCGCAAAGGAGAAGAAAGAGGACCGGAAGAATCGAGGAGGGAGGAGGCCACAGAGCCGCGAAGATCACCGAATCCGGAGCCCCCCGGATCGGCGGCACTGGCCGGAGGCCACTGCAATATAGGAAGTTCACGGAGTGAGGGCGGATCGCTCTCAACATGTGGAGTTCGTCTTACCGCCACGCGCAGTCGCTTCAACACGCTGCAAGAGTTTCACGGTTTGAGAGCGGGTCGTTGTAAACATGTAGCTCTCGCCTTAGCGCCGCGCACACCTTCGTTGTAAGAAGTCGCATGCGTTTCATGGAATCCCACTGTCCACGTACAAGAAACAGTGTTGGAGCGATTCAAGATTATCAGGGCGCAACAGTTGCGTTGATTCGCGGTGGAATCCCAGGACTTGTATTATGGCACGACTCAGGATCGCCAAGGCGCAACGGTCAGGTTAATTCGTAGCGTGGATGAGGGTTTACATTGGTCCCTCTCCTCCCCCTCCTCCTTATCCTCCTCCTTCTCCTCCTCATCCTCCTCTCTTCTCCTTCTCTCCTCCCTTGTCCCTCCGTCCTCCTCGATCCTCCCTCCAATCTCCTCCATCCTCCCTCCTCCCTCCTCTCCAAAGATCCGACGTTACGAACACAACATCGCGAGAGACTACTACCGGAGCCCTGGACCCTCCTTTCTGCTACAGATTTCGAGCCGCCGGATCGATCTGTGATAGCACCTGGCCCGAAACAGGGTAACCTCGCCCAGCGAAACAAAAAAATGGTTACGCCAGGATCTCAGGGTTCCCTCCTCCCGCCCTGCTCGCACTTCCCTCCCTCCCTCCTCGCGCCCTCCCTCCCTCCCTCCTCGCGCCCTCCCTCCCTCCCTCCTCGCGCCCTCCCTCCCTCCCTCCCCGCGCCCTCCCTCCCTCCCCCCTCGCGCCCTCCCTCCCTCCCCCCTCGCGCGCCCGAGGCTCCTGAGCTTCTCGAGCATCTTCTCGTTCTGTGACCGGTGCCTACCGCCGATGGTCTCGGGCGCGAGAGCCCGCCGCCTCTCCTGGTCCTCCTCCAGGGTCTTCATGGACAGGTCCATGGCGTCCTCACCCACGCGGGAGGGGGGGGGGACCGCTTCGTCCTCCATCTCCCTCCTCGTCCTCCTCCGTCCTCCTCCCTCCTCCCAACTCCTTCTCCTCCTCCTCCTCCTTCTCCTCCTCCTCCTCCTCCTCCTCGTCCTCCTGTTCTCCATCTCCCTCCTCATGCTCCTTCTCCTCGTCCTCCTTGTCCCACCTCCCTCCTCCTTCTCCTCCTCCTCCTCCTCCTCCCTCTTCTCCTCCTCTTCTTCCTGCTGCTGCTGCTCCTCCTCCTCCTCATCATCTCCAACGGCCGGGGTTCGGAGCCGCCAGCTGTCGGATGGGCTCGAAACACTGGGACTCCCAGAGGGGGAGAAGGACGCGGAGGGGCAGGAAGGAGGAAGAGCGGGGAGGAGTGATGAAGTGAGAGGGTGGAGGCAAAAGGAGGAGAAGGCTTCCCATGGCCCAATGCGTCCTCGATCCACGCCCTCTCTTGAGGAAGGACGTCTTCAGGGTCGGCGGAGTCCCCGCCCCGCAGCTCCGTCCAGTTCTTCAGCTTCGTGACGGACTTCGTGTTTGTAAGCAACGCCTCGCACGCTGCGCGGGAGGGGGCAAGAGAACGAGGACGGCGATAGTTCCCTGTTTTCGGGCATGAAGCGAGGTCTTTGCAAACGTGTGGAAAGTGTGTCGGATGTTCCCCGCATGTGTCGGATGGCCCCTTGGGTTTTCTGGTATCCCCAGCGGTGTCTTGCATGCTTGCTGCAGCGCTTGACTTTTCCCTAGGCACACGCCTGCACCACAGGGTTCTCACTCGTTAAATCGGCGGTGGACAAACCTCCCTTTAGTAAACCTCCCTTTAGTGAAAACGGCCTAGGACCGAAACCGACGGACCCAGACCCGCAAAAAAAAAACGGCCGCGACGCCCTCTCGCGAACCGACAACGGCCAATTCACTAATCGACGTGTCAGGGTAGGAGGTCTACCCACCCCCGAGAATGGGTCGAGACCTCTGAGGGTCGATGGTATGAACAACTCATGACGTCGGGGATCTGGGGAGGCCCACGAGGTCCGAAGGGGGGAGGTTGGCGAATGACTCCCCTGAGATCCTGGCGATCCGTAGTCCCGCCCGGTGGGCGCCCCTCGTGGGCGCCCCGTGGGCGCCTCGCGTGGGCCAGGTGCTCCGGACGCTCTCCCCTGGCAGGCGCCCGCGGGCGCCCCGTGCGCGCCTCGCGCTGGCCGGGTGTCCCGGCCTTTCTCGCCCGCTGGGCGCCCCTCGGCGCCTCGCGAGCGCCTCGTGTCGGCTCGGTGGGCGCCCGTGGGCGCCTGCGTGGGCGCCTGCGCGGGCTCCTCGCGGGCGCCACCGCGCAGCGGCCGCGCCCCGCGCCGCTGTCCTCACACGGCCTGCGCCACGCAGCCTGCACCGCACAGGAGCCCGCCGCAAGCCTTGCGGCCCGCGCCCCCAGCGAGACGGCGCCGGCAAGGCGGCAAACCGAGGGACGCGCCCACCGCGTGCGAGGCGGCCTCTGCCCTATGGTGGCCACGGCGCCCTCCCCGAGGCGCAGGGCCGCGCGCGGGAAGAAGCGGAGCGACGGCACGTTGTTTGCAGCACGCACCTTGCACCACATAGCTTGTGCCACACAGCTTGCACCAAAAGCCTGTACCACAGAATTCTCGTTTGTTTTTCCAAAGCGGGAAAACTCTACCATCCTCCCGCGCCCAGGGTGAATCGTTCCCTTCCATCTGATTCTGCATGTTCATTTCATTCTCCATCTGGAATCGTACAATTTCAGCCAAGCCGGCATCGACACACGCACCTGCCATCTCCTAAAAAAACGATGCGGTGCATACGGGTTGATCATATAACTGGTAGGGCTCAGGGTCCCTGTCGTGAAACAAGTGCGGGGCTCATGGGCGCGCCGCCAAACGCCCTCAGCACATGCGCTCTATTCAAATAAATGCATAACGTGGCTGGTCAGAAGCGATGGGGCAAAGTAACTGCCTCCAACATTCAATAACTTGTCAAGATTCTGCGCGCCCGCTGAAATTTTAAGAGATGATTGGTGTTTGGCCGTTCTGACGAATCAAACAATCCGGGCCACTCGCGCGCGCATGTCGGGAATGTTGAACCACCACCGCGCGCCCACCAACTCATTCCAATAGTGCATACCACACGGGCCACACGCGCGAGTTTTCGCGCTCGCACATCGAGATTACAGCAAGAGTCAATGGTGTTCGTGCGCAATTGTTCATCATCCTCGCCAGCGCTATCGCCATCAGCATCGACAGCGTGATTACTGCCATCGTCATCCTCATCAACATCACCATCGCCAAGATCGTCACTGCCGTCGTCACTTCCGTCGTCGACGTCGTCGCCGCTGTCTTGATGTCGCGCCCCCCAGAATGACCGACCCGCACTGAAGTGCCCGCGCGCCAGCGCGGCCTTTGAGACGCGCTGGGAAGTTCCCGTCGGCAGCCGCCATCGCGGCCGCATCAATTGTGCCGAACCAGCTGGCCGCACTGCACGCCCGAGTGCGAGCGCCAGCGCACCCGCAGAAGGCGGCCTCTGGTGCCAAGGAAGCAGCATAGGTTTTGCAAAACAAGTCGCGGGTGGGAGGTGGGGGGTTTGCGCGAGCAGTGGAGGTTGTCAATATAATACCGCCTCGGTGAGTTGCGCCACTGAGGGCCCCAAGACCTCCGAAGATGGCCCCAAGAGGCCCCGAAGACCCCCCAACGAGGGCCCCAGAGAGGCCCGAGACAGCCCCAAGGGGACGCCAAAAAGGTCTCGAGAAGACCCCAAGGTAGCCGCCTGAGTCCTTGTCTTCGTCGTCCTCCTCCTCCTCCCTTTCCTCCTCCTCCTCATCCTCCTCCTAGTTATTGTTATCTTCGTTCTGTTTCTCATCCTCATTGTCCTCCTCGTCCTCTTCCTTCTCGTCCTCGTCGTCATATTGCTTCTCCGTGTCCTCGTTCCCGTGCGTTTCCCCCTGTTCCTTCTCCTTTCACGACCCTAAGTCGTCTTGCATACATCACATTTAGTGATGGTCCTTCTCCTCGTCCTCCTCCTCCTCCTGCTGATCCTCCTCACACCTCTCTGGGCAGATACTCCTCTGCACGCTTCATCGCTTCCCTGAAGAAGGCAACTCGCCTTGGCATCTCTTCATGATCTCTTCCGCCTGTCTCCCGTCAGCGCTCATCGGCAAGGTTTCTGCATGGGCTGGTGGGGATGCCTTTTTTTTTACAGCCGCGGGCGGAAGCGCCAGCGGCGGCGAGTAACGGTCGGGCTGCGGCCGAAACTAATTGGCCGGACGCGCGCGCGGGCCGCGGCCGGCGCCGGGCGGCGGGTGCAAGGGTGCTGCAGCCCAGGGAGTCTGACGGCGGGACCAGCACCCAGGGAGCAGTAATTACGCTGCCAAACCGCTGGTGGGGATGCGCGAAGCGTGAAGAATTGCGCCGCATAGCTTCCACCACTTAGCTTGCACCACCCAGCTTCCACTGCATAGCGTGCACATCCAGTGCACAAGCTCACTGCTTGGAGCCCACACCGGGGAGGCTTCCAGCAGGCAGGTGTGAGCAGGAGGACGGGATGACTGGGGACGGGAGGGGCGGCAATCGGGGAGTGCGCGGGATGGCAGGGGGGGGGGGAAGGGGGAGAAGGTAGGACGGAGGAAGGGCGGAGGAGGTGGGAAGCAGGCGAGGTGGGGTGGAGTCCAGAGGAAAGCGGCTGCCGGGGGCGGGTGGCCAGGAGGAGGAGGAGGAGGAGGAGGAGGAGGAGGAGGAGGGCGTGAGGGCGCAGGGCCTGGCGCTCCTGGTGCACGTTGGGGCACTGGATCTCGATGGCCAGCTTCGTGGCGCCCTTGATGTCGCAGGGCCTCGCGAGCACGGGGCCCTGGCCGCCCGCGGGCCCTGGCAGGGTGAGGTTGACCTCGAGGCTGCTGCCCGCTCCTGGCGGGAGGAGGGGGAGGAGGAGGAGGAGGAGGAGGAGGAGGAGGAGGAGGAGGAGGAGGAGGAGGAGGAGGAGGAGGAGGAGGAGGAGGAGGAGGAGGAGGAGGAGGAGGAGGAGGAGGAGGAGGAGGAGGAGGAGGAGGAGGAGGAGGAGGAGGAGGAGGAGGAGGCGTCGGGGGCGGAGCGGCACCGGAGGGCGAGCCCTCGCGGCGCGGGCGACGAGCAGAGGGCTCGGGCCCGAGCCCTCGCCGACCAGCCATAACTGGGGGAGCTGTGGTCCTTACCCCCTCGAGAGGGGGACCCCTATCGCATCGACGACCCCTCGAGAGGGGTGCCGAAATCGATGGGCCCCCCCAGGGGGGTAAGGAACACAGCTCCCCCAGTTGTGGCTGGCCTGCCTCGCGGCGTGGCGACGGGCTGCCGAGGCCCCGGGTCGCTCTCGTCGGCGCTCCGCGGTGCTCCAGCCTCGGGAGTGCCCTCGGACAGCCGCGCCTCGCCGCGCAGCTGCGCTCCCCGAGGGGGTGCCCCCGCATCGTCCCGCGAACGGCCGCCCGCGGCTCGGCTCGAGAGCCCGGCCCTCCGCATTCGGATGCAGCTCTGCGGAGGCCAAAAACTCTGACTGACCTTGCCCTGGCCCGAAAAATCCAGCCGCATCCGGCTTAGACTCCCACTGAATCCGGCTCGATCCCGCGTCATCCGGCGTTCTATCCCGCTCGCGACATCGCGACCACGCGCCTCTAGCCGGCTTTCTATCCCACCAGCCAGGTTCGCCTTCAAGGCGCCCTGGGCGTTTCTGTTCGCGTTTTCTACATAGGGCTCTTGACAGGCTGAAAGCGCTGAACAAACAGTTGCCTTTCTAAGAGTTTTCAATGCTGTTTGTTTGGCGTTTTTCGTTGCGTCTGTTTGTTCCCCCGCTTTCAAGCTGAAAAGCCACCGGTCTGAAAACGCTACAACAACGCATCATGTTTTTAGCGCTTTTAGTTTCTGTTGTTGCGACCTGGAAGAAAATGCCAACAACAATGATTTCCGAGACGGCGAGCTGGAAAACGCTAAAACATCGCCCTGAGAATAAGGGCGACCCAAGCCCAGCAGCATGGGCCGAGACCTCCGCCGTCGCTCTCCTGTCCCCAGGCCCCCTCGCGCTGCCCAGACCCCCCGACGTCATTTTTTTCATTGCGTCGACCCCCAGCGGTCCCGACCGTTTCCCCACGACCGGCTTTGCATCCTCAGTCGTGTTGTGATGCTCCCGCGGCCCGGTGAGGGCCCCCGGAGGCCGAAAATGAAGCAAAACCTCCCGTCACGATTCTTTCATAACTCGAGGGGGTCTGGGTGTGGCAGCAGCACGACGGGAGGCTCATCGTGCTCCTCGGGCACGTCCCCCTACAGGGGGATTTTGGGCGGAAACTTAAAAACACTCCAAAAATGCCCCCCGAATGCTCAAACATAATCAAAAAATAATCTCCCGACTATTTCTTGACTATTATTTAGGAATATTCCTCCTGTAGAGGGACAGGCCCGACTTAAACCCAGGACGAGAAAGCGGCCCCAGGGGACGGGCCGAGGCCTCTAGTTAGGGGCCGAGGCGTCCTGGTGCAGTCGAAGAACGTTGGGGGTTTGGGTCCAGTCGGGCCTGTCCCCCTACAGTTAGGTCGGGCCTGTCCCCCTACAGGGGAATTTTGGACGATTCGTTGTTTTCCAAAGATGCTCACAACATAGTCCCCAGACTATGTTTTTAACAATTTTGAATTTTCCCCTGTAGAGGGACAGGCCCGACTTAACCCTACAGGCGGATTTTGGACGAGACGCATGCAAAATTCACAGCATGACCCCACTATATATATATACACACACGCACATATGTCTTCAGATGTTCATATATGAGTATATACATATACATGTACATATACATATACATCTACATATACATATACATATACGTATACATTTACATATACATATACATAACCTCATGCCCGTGAAAATAAACACTAGGGGATAATAAAGTTCGGGGTTCAGGGAGAGATAATAAAAGTAGCCCAGCAGACCTCAGCATAATCTCGAAGTAAGAGATGATCAAGAGGGGACCAAGAAGAGGAGAAAAAGAAGAGGACGAAGAAAGGAAACATCCAAAGTTCCAAATCTATCAATTTTAATTTACAAACGCTTTATGACAATTGATGTTTTAAGTGCTCGTGTAGGGTAGCTCATGTGCTTCATTTTCCATGGATACCCAACCCCAGGGATAAAAAAGTTCAGGCGAGCGTGAGGACAGATAGAAATATAAAAAAGAAGAGGAAATTATAATAATAATAAAAAGGGAAGAAGAAGAGAATAAGAAGAAGAAGAGAAGAAGAACGGACAAATGGAAAGTTCCAAATCTATCAATTTTAATTAACAAACGCTTTATGAAAATTTATTTATTAAGTGCTCATGTAGAGTAGCTCATGTGCTCCCCTTTCCATGGATAATCACCCCAGAGATAAAAAAAAAAAGTTCAGGCGCGCGCGTTTCGTTTGAGTCTGCCTCCCAAAATTATTGGTTTCGCTTGACACATCCTGAAAAGTGTGATCGCTTCGCTTGATGTTGCTATATCAACATCGCTTGATGTTGCTATCTCAACATAGCGTTTCGAGGTGATAATGAAGTTCGGCCTCAGCGCTCGCCGCCCAATTTGAATTTTGTATAGGGCTACGATAATCAACTCTAAACACTGAAGGGGGGGGGGGTCCCTTTATTATCATCGGCATGCGGTCATATATATATATATATATATATACATAATCGGATCATCGTTCCCAGAAGGGCATGACCGACCTAAGGCTGGGGTCTGTGAGGTGGGCCCCACTGAGCATCGCTTCGCCGACCCCTGTGCCCCTGGGCGTGGCCTGGGCCCCGCTGGCAGGTGCACGCCCCGGCCCCAGATGGGGATAGAGGCCGTTCCCTTCGGGCTTCGAGGGGCCTATCCCCAACTGGGGTGGTGGGGTTAGAAATCTCCTAGATGGGATCGGAATTCGTGGGATTTGGGGATCGCGCCGCATCGCTGTGAAGCAAATCGGACTGCACACCGGAGCCGCATCGGAGATGCATCGGCGATGCGGCGCGATCCTCCGAACCCATCTGCTCCGACCCCATCTGGGAGATCTAGAGGGGTGGTGAGGCTGATGCACATTGGCTCTCGACACCTTGCCCAGGGCCAACGGTCCATCCCGAGCAGCTGTGCCGCAAGCCCCGTGGACAAGTACCGCCCTTCGAGGGTCCCGAACGATGATAAAACCGCCGCCACGGCCATGCGATGCGGCCCTGGGGGCACAAGAAGGCAGCTGCCGACATCGCCGATGGCGATGGCTCCTGGGGCGGATGATGGGGAGGAGGAGGAGGAGGAGGAGGAGGAGGAGGAGGAGGAGGAGGAGATGAGGAGGAGGAGGAGGAGGAGGAGGAGGAGGAGGAGGAGGAGGAGGAGGAGGATAGAGGTGCAATCTGGCCGCTTCGGGGCAAGCCTGGCCGTGGCTACCAGGGAAGGGTTATGGCGGCCCCGGTGCTGGAATAATGGGAAACAACAAGAACATAAACTTGCGGAGTCCGCGCGGATTTCTCAAGGTCCAGCGCCAGGCCCCAAACGTTACCTTCTTTGACGCTCGAGAGAAAAATCATCCAGATTCAGTCGCTCACGTTGAAAATTTCGACGTGAGCTCTAAACGCAACATCCCCTCCCTGGCGCGCGGGGCGCTCCAGGGGCGGCGCCAGAGGTGCCGCCAGGGGGCCTGGAGGCGCAGGATCCTCTGGATGTTTGCGCGTATGCGAGTTTTCCCCCCCGACCCGTGCCCTCTTCCGAGACATGCGCCCACGGTCTCCGAAGCAATCCGCGGCCCTTCTCGGGGCGCGTCCTGACCACGACCTCGGCGCGAGAATCTTGCCGTGGCGACGAGGGAAGGGCAGCAGCACATTGGCCCAGCTCTCTCTCTCTCTCTCTCTTCCTCTCCCTCTCCCTCCCTTCTGAGGCGCGCCCACGGTCTCCGAAGAACCCCGCGGCCCTTCTCAGGACATTGTCGTCGTCGGAGGTGCACGTCCGCATGGGGCTCCAGGAGCTCCAGGTGGCCGCGGGCTCCGACGCCGACGCCGCGAGCGCCGGCTGGGCCTCCGTGTGCGCCGCCGCGCTCGGCAGGGCCGGCAGCGCGATGGCGGCGGAGGACCTCGGAGGATCTCGGCGCTAGGGGGGGCGTGGCTGTGCTTTTGTGTTCGAGGGCGGCGCTCCCAGACCCCCTCCTCGTTCTTCTCCTCTTCCTCCTCCTTCTTCTTCTCCTGCTCCTCCTCCTCCTCCTCCTCCTTTTTCTTCTTTTTCTTCTTCTTCTCCTCCTCCTCTTCCTCCTCCTCCTCCTCTACCTCCTCCTCCTCCTCCTGCTCCTGCTCCTGCTCCTCCTCCTCCTCCTCCTCCTCCCCCTTGGGATCCTGCGAGATTCCCATACCTCCTCGAGTCCTGAAAACATCATGGCGGGAAGATGTTCGTTATCTTCGGCCTCCGGGGGCCCTCACCGGGCCTCGGGACCGTCAAAACACGACTCAGGGAGAGAAACCGATCCCAAAGAAAGTGTCGAGATCTCTGGGGGTCGACGTTACGAAATAACCGTGACGTCGGGGGTATGGTATTTCCGCCCGTCTTCAAGGCACCGAAGCTTCCAATCGCGAAAAAAAAACATCGAGAGCGCAAGAAAGGCCCCTAAGAGGCCTCCAACGAAGCCCCACAGTGGCCCAAGACACCCCGAAGCAGCCTGCAGGAGGCTTCTGAAAACCCGAGGGATCCCCGCAGGCATCTCAGAGGCCACTGGCCTACGACCCAGGCGCGGTGAAGAGATGGGCCGAATGCCACTAGGTGCCGAAACTTCCAACTCCGAAACATGGAAAACGGAAATAATCAAAAACCTAGCGATGGTTTTGAGAAGCGATCCGAGCCCCTGGATGTATCTACCCTGACGTCCGCCGATCAGAGTTTTCCAATCCGCGGCCCAGAGGTCCTGGCCGCTGACCCAAGGGAGTCATTTCTGATGGCCCTGGGGCGCGATAACGGTGCACGAAGGCCGAAATCTGGGAGAGACGCTGAGACGGAACAAATAGTATCGTCGGAGATCTGGGCATGTAGTTCTGAGCAAAGCGGGCGGCGTCACCGCCTCGACGTTCCAGAGGGCAAATCCGCTCAAAATCGGTCCCAGGACCACTCCCGGGGTCGAAACTGTCAAGCTTGTCCTTGATACCGTTTCGTTAGAGAGATCGATCAGAGGTAAAAGACCACAGAAGAGTCCCGCAGGGGACACCAGGAGTCCAAGACCCCCGCACTATAAATCGTTTGGTCCGGCAGCCGCTCCGCCTTACACTTCCACACCACTTATTCAGGAATCGCGATCTGGCCCCAATGCCGGCTACATACATGATTGACTGGGTCGGCCACGACCTTTTGAACATATGATACACAAAGGTGCACATGGCCCTGCGCGGCTTCCCCCGGGGCCGTAGGCGACCCGAGGAGGAGGAGGAGGAGGAGGAGGAGGAGGAGGAGGAGGAGGGAGGAGGAGGAGGAGGAGGAGGAGGGGAGGAGGAAGGAGGAGGAGGAGGAGGAGAAGGGGAGGAGGAGGAGGAGGAGGAGGATTAGGAGGAGGAGGAGGAGGAGGAGGAGGAGGAGGAGGAGGAGGAGGAGGAGGAAGGAGGAGGAGAGGAGGAGGAGGAGGAGGAGGAGGAGGAAGAGGGGGAGGAGGAGGAAGCGGAGGATATTGAGATCCCCGTTGCGAAGCAAGTCCGGGTATCGCTTAAAGCTGAGCCCCTGGTCGCTGCCTCGGTGGGCCAGCCTTACCTTGGGTCTTGGGGGGGAGCCCCTCAGCTAAGCGACGGAGGCACGCGCGGCCTGTGCAAGTGGGATGGATCGAACAGGGTTTGCCCAAGGAGCACACCCGTTGATCAGCAGTGGCCCCACACGAGCCGCAGAACCGCACCCTCACTTGAGAGTGGTAATTCAGGAGGTGGGATGGATGCAGCCAGCCCCCCGCTACATGAATACGCATCCCTTGGGCCTTGGGCTGGGGCGTATGGGGGCCCCGTCAACACTGACGAGCTCTTGGCAGGGGGGATTCCCACCTCTCAACTGTGGCAAACGACGCAGAGCTAATACAACGCAAACACTTACGTTGACACCCCGAGAGCCGATGAGCCGAGCAAAGGGAGGAGAGCACGGCAGCAGAGGAGCGGGGGGGGGGGGTTGGGGAGGATGGGGTACCCCCTCTTTCCTAATCTCCCTGGTACCCTGGGCAAGCTCTTGCTCAGCCCGGAAGCATTCGAACGCAGCACGGAGGCACCGCATACGCACATGCATGGCACGACTTTCCTGCAGATGAATATGCTGGCAGATGGGGACAGGAACACGGGCAAGGTGGGCAGCGGCGTCGGCCAAAATGTTAACTACAGTGTTGGCCAGAACGTGCGTGCTGACAGCGCGCCGAGCCACGATATCCTCCTCGGACTGATGGCTATGTGTGAAAACAACCGAAATACAAAACGGGGGTCAGGCACGCAGTTGGTCGCGGATGCGAGCCCACAGGTCGGCGTCAGGGCCGTGCGGGCGGTCGTGCATTCTAATGGGCCACCCCGTTGCGAGGGGCTCGTACGCTGTAATATACAATAAATAACCAGTAGCGCTCTCTGAAGCCAAAGGAAACGCTCCACTCCCCCCTCCGGCGACCACTTGTCGAGTGCCACTTAGGGGGCCCATTATGGAGGCTTGGACGGACAGGGGGGGCAGGGAATTAATGCAAGCGCATGCGAGGCCTACGCGTCGGAGTCTGGGCCATTTGGACTCAGGCCCGCCTGGCGCATCCCCGGACACCAGCAGGGGCTCACTTTGAGCCCCATGTCCAAGACACCCACATACAACTTCAGGCGTCCCTTCGGGCCACCACACGTCAAGATCTGCAGGCTCAGGGGCCCAGGTCCAGGGCGCTGGGGGGAGCCCACGGAGCCAGAAACCTTCATCGCAGCTTGCCTGGGCGAGGGCGGCTGGAACATATTGGGCGCTAGCGTCATAGGGTGGTGAACCCACGTTCTTTTCGAATTCCCAGTAGCGACGCATCCATGTTTCTGAATAGCGCTGACACCTGTCACAAATCTCGGCGCCCTGAGCATTCAGCACCAGCTGCTTCTTTCTCGCTTTGGGCCAGCACCCTCCTGCAGCAATCGTGGCCGTGGTCTCTGACAGTTTGCGCCCATGTGGAGAGGCCTCGAGTTGGGCCACCAGCTTCTGGAACAACTCCATGGCGACCCCGCGCTCCAGCCCGCCACCAGCATTGCGTTGGCTCGCAGTCACCCATCGCTTCTGGGATACTGATCTTAGCAGGTCTTGGAGCAGACGGCCATGTCGATCTTTGTGCACGTCGCCTGTGTAGGGCTCATCAGGCAACTGCCATTGTTCTGTCGAGCCCTTGTCCGCGTCAGTAGTGTAGCCCCACTGGCGCGGCTGTCGCGGGCCCCAGCCAGCTCTCATCAATGTCAGGGTCACTGCCGAGATTGGGCACCTCACGTTGCGAGGCTGATCTGCAGGGTTGAGGTTCAGCATCTGCGTGTCGATCTGACCCCAGACTTTGCGAATGCCCGTGCTGAGGTTGGGATGGTCTCGCCGCGACTTCAGCCACTGGTCCACGAGTTGGACTGGCAGCTCCAGCGCCGGGCCCTGGCCTGGGGCCTTGGGCTCAAGCACCGTCGCGAGACAGCGCCCCTTGCCAGCCCCCCCGCTTGCCTGCGCCAACCGTCGCCGCACCAACTACACCTGCTGTCCAAAGGCGCCGTGCACTTGGTGGCCGTGCAGGCCCGCAGGAAGGCCTGCCTGCGTCTGCAGATTGGCCGTCGCCTTGAAGCGCCTTGGCGCCTGGGCGAATCTGCGAATCTTGTTCGACATGAGCTGGTGCTTATGTTCTCTCATGCGCCGTGTGCTGCGAGCATGAAGCCCGCATCCGAAATCGACTCCGAGGTGCGCCGCATGCTTGCCCCCTGGGTCTGGTAAGCCCGCCTGAGGACTCCTCGGCGATGGCCTTGGAATCCTCCGTCGTCGAGCTCCTGCTGGTGAACTTCGGAGTAACTTCGAGGCCCCTCGCCCCCAGCAGTTGGCACGTGTGGACGATGCAATCAATCAGATGTGGCTTCACGGCGCGACTGGATCCTGACATCTGCTGGGGTACGTCGTCGACCCATATCCGGTGGCTCGCACTGGGATGGGCCAATGTTGTTTTCTACATGACATATTGCGCGAGGGCTTTCGCGAAGCGTGTCCCGCTTCGCAGGCCCTGCACCACTGACCGCGACGGTTCAAATGTCTGAGGCCACACCCATCTGTTCTAGTGCGCGCGGGAAAATGCATTGAACCAGTTCGAGCTCGAGGACACTGGGCGGGAGATCCAACGAAAGGGCTGCCTCCAAGAGCGGCAGCCAAGGTATGGGATCGTAAAATGAGACAATGCCCAGCATTGCATGTGCATATGTCATCTTGACAGTAGGTGCTAATTCTTCGTCGGTGGCGCGTCGGAGCGCCTCCTGTAGACATGATTTTCCTCTGGTGGCCGCGTCCCAGTCCGTAGTATGGTACTGCGCCCATGATTGCACATGTGTCTCTCTGATCATCGGCCCGACTCGTCCAAGCATCAAGATCATCCCTATGGCTCGGCCAGCTCCTGTCTTCTTGGGCGTGAGCTTACCCAAGATGACTGGTGCCTGGATCGGCCACGCGAGTGTGTCCTTCATAGCTGTTAGTAGTAATGGCATATCCTGACGTGCTTTCGGAGGTAGTCGCTGAACGTCAACTGGCGTGAAACTAGCAACCCCTAGGCCTGGGGGGGGGGGCTTCATCCTGCCGCAGGCATATGTTATCGTAGCTGGAGTGATGCTGGGCAGTGGGTCGTCGTCGGCAACTGCCCGTATGCGATTGAACATATCTCGAGTGGTGCTGAGGTCTATCTGCTGCGGGGCCCAGGAGGTCATTGAACTTCTCCGCCTTCGCGTCCATGATCCCGACTGGGTGCACAGCCACCCCAGCGTCTGAGGCATACTCGATGTCGGGTAAGTTCATGGGCTTAAGAGATTTTCGCAGGATTCCATTCGCATGCGTTCCCTGTATCCAAGACCCGAAATCACGTAGATAAGCAAATCTGGCTCGTCGTTGGACGCGGTCAGCCAAGCGCCTGGCACATCTCTCCCAGGACTCGAGAATCACCGCCTGCTCGGCAGCGCCCTTGGCTAGTAGTTATCGCCACCGTTTCCATGGTGGGTCTCGTAGTGGCCAGATGACATCTTGGACGCGTTCAGGGGCCTCATGGAGCAGCTTCACGCACGCCTGCTGGTATCCCTGGAGTTGGACGGGACCGTTGCCGCGTGCTGTGTCGTAGTACTCCACTCGGAACCGTTCGGAGCCGTGTCCACCACTGGGCGCGAGCGTCTCGCAATCTCTGTTGGTGCCGATGGGCGACCATATGCATTGGCTTCACCTTGAACTGCGGCTCATGGGCGCGGCATGCACCCGGGGGTGCCTGGCCGTGATGTCTGCTGGTCGTGTGTTCGAAGAAGGTGTCGAACGCTGCATGCGTACCTGATATTGAGGCGGGGCGTGTTTCTGTGAGCCTAAATGCTACGGGAAGCAGCAGCGGAGGGTGGAGACATTTTAGAGAACTGGCCCCAGACGTAAACCCGATCTCCTCACGCGTACGACACCACAGGTCGTCAGGAATGACAGAACTTGGCATGGGAGTCGGGGTCCTGGGGCCAGCCTGGGTACCTTCGGACATGCGGGAGGGCTCTATAGGCTCTGGCTCTCGGGTGGCCGAATCATCGCACCTGCTACTGTCAAGTCCTACTTCGGGGGGCTGGCGCGAAATGGGGCGATGGCTCTCTTGGCACTGGCGCTGCGGGACCTTTCGCTGACTGTCAATGGCATTTTGGGCGGCCTCGGTGGGCGTGCTGTCGCCGTCGCCAGGCCTGGGCGCGGTGGCCCGGCGGTCGCCCGGGAGGGGGGGGGGGGGTGGCAGGAGGGGCAAGGGGGGTGGAGCAAACGCAATCTAATTCATCCGCCCAAGGGTCTGGCTAGTCCGGCCACTCAGGCTGGTCTACTTGGGCGTCCTCAACATCGCCTGACCCCCCAGGCCCCCGGGCACCTCCCACTTCAAAATCGCGATTGGGAGACGACTGCCGCTTATCAAAGCAATCCCAAAAGGAAGCCGTAAGTCGCTGGCAGCGCTTTTCATTGGCCTCTTGTTGCGCCATCTGGCGCTGAGCCTTCATCCTACTATTCTCAGATCTCAAGCAAGGAGAAGCGCACGGACGCCCAACCTGGGGGGGCCTACGAGGCCCATCCCAGGCACGCGTGAGAAGTTGGAGGCCCGAGCTCCTGAGGGCCACCTGCATGCCAATTTGGGGGCGCCGCGGGGCGTCGCGGACCCGCCGAACATATTCGATGCAAGGGATGGCTGAAGAAGAGCACAACGTGCAATCAAGGAGAGTGTCTGCTCTTTTTTTCTGCACGCAGGTCCCTTCTCCAGGGGCGACGCGGACGTGGCCGTCCACCTCGCGGGCGATCAGCGAGTCCTGGGGGATGTCTGGGGGCGCGTTGAAGTCGCCGATCACCGCCCACGGTAAGCTGGCAGCCCTGAGTAGACCTCCAAGCCGTCCATATCGTAGGCGGCCGGGCCCCAGCATGCCCACTGACGAGCGCCCGTGCCAGAAAATGAACGTGATGCTGTAGCCCACCTGGTGCAGTACAATGGGCAGAAAACCATCGAAGATCTGGTCGCCATTGGCCGAGAGCTGGCGCGCTGCAGTTCTGGCCCCAGGAAGAAGCTGACATTGGCGGTGACGGCGAGCGACCCCCCCCCCCCCTGCATTGGAACGGTTGACTGTATTCTTGGACACATGCTTTCCCGACGATCGAGCTGGATTCGAATACAATCGTAGCATCTCACGCCTGGCCTTCGCACCCCAGGCCCGAAGTTCTTGTTGGTCATGGGCGTGAATCCCTACGACCCCCCAGTAAGATAGTTGCGAGTAGTGGCCGAACAAGTACTGCCCGGACTTGTCGGAGAGCTCAGTGATGTTCCCCGCGAACATGCGCGTCTCGTCGCTGGCGCGGGCATCAGACTTCTGGGACTGCGGCATCCCCTTCTGAATATGTCAAGCAGTCGAAGGGGAGGCTGTCGAACCTGTCGCAGCAATGCTCGCCGACCCCTTACCCTTGGCTTTGGAGGCCTGGGCTTGGGCGGCGAATCGTGCTTCGGACAGCTTCTTCGCATCGGCCTTGAGCTTGTCCTGCTGGTCCGAGGGGGGGGGGGGTCACGGGCTCGGCGGGCACGGCCACGTTGGCGGCCTGCTGGGGCTCGTCGTCGACTTCCAGCGTCTCCTTCGCCTCCGGGTCGACGGCCTCGCCGCCTTGGGGCTTCCTCTTCTTGGCTATGCGCGCGCTGATGGCCCCTTTGAACTTCTTGGCTTGCTCGAGCCACGTGGTGATGCGCTGGCTCCTCGAGTCGAGGTCGCCGCGGGTCGTTTTGAGGTCCTTGTGGGGTTTCTCCAAGTTCTTGCTCTCCTCCTCAGTGCGCTCCAGCTTCCCGAGCAGGCTGAAGAACTCCTCGTCCCAGTCCAGCCTGAACATAGGCACGTGATTCTTCTCATGTTTCTCGCCAGCTGCACCCGCTGCTAGAACACCTGGGGCACCCTCTGCGTGAGCGAGATCCCTGGTCGCCGCCGCCTTAGCCTCCGTGGCCTCCGCTAGGGCGGGGGGCGGCGGCCGCTTCTTTGGTCCTCGCAGTCTCAAGATCGGCTTGAAGGCGGACGACCGAGGCAACCGCCTGCTCGCGGAGGTGCTCCGCGTGGCGGTAGGCCCCGTCAGCCTTCTTGAGGCTGTCAACGAGGCTGGGCGTTTCGGGCGAGCTGTTCAGCAGGCCCAGGCGCTCAAGCTCGTCCTTCAGCGTCTTCTCGAGCAAAGGGTCGCTGGTGGCGCCAATGGCCTGCTGGAGCAGGTTGTGCACTGGCACCGTCTTGACCTTGCCATGTGTAGCACGTCGTCCTTTGCCACCTGGTGACGGGCTGCGGCTGCGAGACATCATGGAATATCACTCCGCCCACCTGCGCCAGGCCTTCGAACGTGACAACATTCTTGAAACGGTTGCCTGCTCCTCGATAGATATCAACCTTCGTGTGGCAGTGAGTGCATGTGTTGATATTCCGGGCGAGGGTGTTGTTCCACTCGCAGCGCCCACATCCTCCGCATCGAAACCACTGGCCGTGTGTTTCATGCTGCCTCGGTCTCAGTCGTACCTCGGTGTGGTGTGGGGCGGGCACCGAGGTAAGTCCCTCAAGCACTGCGTGGAAGTGCCGAGTCGCGCTGGGCTCTGTGTACCAAAAGGTCAGAGCCCAAACAGTTGCTTGAAAGGAGGAAGAGGAGGAGGAGGAGGAGGAGGAGGAGGAGGAGGAGGAGGAGGAGAGGAGGAGGAGGAGGAGGGAGGAGGAGGAGGAGGAGGAGATGAGGAGGAGGAGAGAAGGACGAGGAGTAGGAGCGGAGGCGGAGGCGGAGGAGGAGGCGGAGGAGGAGGAGGGGGAGGAAAAGGAGGAGGAGGAGGAGGAGGAGGAGGAGGGAGGAGGAGGAGGAGGAGGAGGGGTCGCCTAAGCCCTTCGGAGAAATCCTCCAGCAGGGCCGTGCCTCTCGGCTGCCCGCGCCTCGACCCGCCTCCACGCCTCTGCGTCGTCATCCGTTCGGGGCGCCGCTGCTGGGGAGCACCTCGGGCCGCGCCCGGCCGAGGCGACGAGGGGGCGGGCACAGGGGCGCGCTGGCGTTGGCGCCAGCGCCCTGGTGGCTCGGGCGGTGCAGGATGCTGCCCATCCGTCCCGGCGGCGGCCTGTGGGGGCTGAAGAGGAGGAGGGCCCGAGGAAATCGGTCGAAGGGGGGGGGGGAGGAGGAAAGGCCAACATTTAGCTCCAGCGCGGTCCCTAGAGCCCTCCCGCGGTCCATCTGATGCAAATGTGCATCCTGGATCCGTGCTTGAGGGCCCTAGGGTGCGACAGAGAGGCCCCCCAGAGGCCGAGAGAGTCAAAGACCTTCCACGAAGCTGGCACCACGAACCTGGCCCCCCCTTCCCGTTTGCCATCTGAGGTGGCGGGCAGGACGAGGTAGTCAACAATGGAGTGGCTGGGCCACCTCACTGTTGACTACCAACCAGACCACCTCAACCTAACCCTAAGAACGTGCGTGTTCCACAGGTGCAATTGTTCAATGCTCCCCGAAGCCCCCTCCCACTGGGAATGAAGGCATATTTGGGCCTTCTGGTTGGGTTGGGGTGGTTTGGTGGGTGGTGGAATGTGTCAGACCCCCTGGGGAAACCAAAAGGTACCGATACCGCTACTACCCGGACCTCTCCCAGAATGCGTCCAGACCAGGATCTCAAGACGAATCCAGCGGTGGCGACGAGGGCCTCCCAGGAGGCACAAAAAGTGCAAAACGGGCGGGGAGGGCAGCGGTATGGGTACCTTTTCTTTCTCTGACCACCAGCCGACTTCAATGGGACGCACAGAGAGAAACTACTAGTACTGCATGCTCTCCTTGGAGGCGCGCGTCCGACACGAGCATATCCCATACCGATCGTGTAGTCTATAATTTCCCGAGCGGGGTGGCCAGAGAGCGCCAGCCACGGCGAATATGCTGTAAGATTTCTCGGTGCTCGCGTCGCCCCTGGGGGGCGACGCACACATAGTATTAGTACAACAGAGCGACGCCGATTCAACATCCACCGTGCCCACCCTGGACGGTTTCCCCCCGGGCCGTAGGCGACCCAAGGATGATGATAAGGAGGAGGAAGAGGAGGAGGAGGAGGAGGAGGAGGAGGAGGAGGAGGAGGAGAAGGAGGAGGAGGAGGAGGACGAGGAGGAGAAGGTGGAGGAGGTGGAGGGGGGGGGAGGGGGGGGGGGGCGGAGGAGGCGGAGGAGGAGGAGGAGGGGGAGGGGAAGGAGCAGGAGGAGGAGGAGCAGGAGGAGGGGTCGCCGAAGCCCTTCGGAGAAACCCTCCAGCCCACCCCCACTTCGCCCCTGGGCTCGCCGCCGATGTTAAGGAGGCGGCCGAGCGGAGGAGGCCCGAGCGCGCGCCAGGGCGAGGGGCAGGTTGGCCGTGGCGGACGGGCGCTGGCAGACCTCGGCGGCCACCTCGAGCGCCACGCTCGGGGCCGCGAAGTTGGCGCCGACCTGCGGGCAGACTTTTTGGTCGCCAGCGGCGTGTGCGGTTCCCCCTCGGGGCCGCGCGCGACCCGAGGAGGAGGAGGAGGAGGAGGAGGTGGAGGAGGAGTTGCGCCTGGTGCGGTGCTGGCTGAAGGCTGGAGCGATAAAGCTGGATGGGCAGAAAAAACTCAACTAGCACAATGGCCTCGCCTTTGGCGGGGTCGTTCTGCGATGACATTAGGTGGGACTCTGGACCAAAATACCACCGGAAACAGCAACGCCCCCGATACAAAAACAACAGAAACATGTATCACCCAGGTGTTGGCAACAGCATCAACCAGAGGAGGTTCGATTGTGTTGTGTTCCGTTTGGTCGTCCAGGCTGGCTGAACTATTAGAGAAGACTGGAACGCAGGAGCAATTCGTCTAGAACCTTAGAGTCGCCTTTGGCGGGGTCTGGGTGCGTTCTATTAAACATACGCTTCCAACTGTTCCTGTTGTATGGGCTTGTAAAAAAAATCCCGCCGCAATCTTTCAGAAGGCCTTTGGCTCTCTGGCCCTAGCACATGCAGCCACACGAGCTGCATATAAAGATCAAGCTGTCGGAGTCGTGGCAAGCGATGTAAATCCTATGCGTGCGAGTGTTTGCGGCAATTTCGCTGAAAACGGAATTGTGGCCAGTGCAGACTTCCGATGCGGATGGCGCTGCAGCGTAGCTACGCTTGTAGCATACTATACAAATCCAATCTTTTGGCTTAACGAACTTCCAACGGTGCGAGGTTGGACCCGGCGCCGCACACGGGCGAGGGGCATGGGTGCCAAAAGGGGCTGGCAGTAAATGCGGAAGCGGTGGAGGGGCAGCAGATGAGGAGGCGAAGGCACCACCAGCCGAGCTGGCCGCCGCCCCTGGCACCGCAGTGGCATAACCTGGACCGCATTCTCCCAGGACCTCCGCAGTGAAGGCGTAGTTGGAGGACCTGCCCTCCCCGGCCACTCTTCTAGCTCGACGGCGGCCTTTGCCACCGGTGCCGCGCTTGCGCGGCAGGAAGAAACACTCCAACGCTCTAATCACGAATTGAAGGTACGTCGTGAACGCACGGGCCCTCGAATCCTGCAAACCAAACTCAGCAAACGATGGCTGGTTATGTTTATTTGCTCCTAGCTTGGCCGCTGTATCGGCCTGCTGGCTACCTAGGGCGCTCATCCATTCTAAAGACCCTTCTGGGAAACTGGCAGGGTCTACATGGGCAGGCACCTTCGTACAAGGCGCCTTCGTCTCAGTAGCGCCTACAAGTCTACATTTTAGCCCAGCATAAGAACAAGGACACCTGTAAGAAAAAGGTTCCCTGACGGCTTGGTATGGAGGCCTAGTACACCCAGATGGTCAGCTCTCACTTCGATCGTTCTAGGCGCATGCGTGATCGCAGCGAGGACAACTACGTGCTCGGCAGGAGGAAGAGGAGGAGGAGGAGGAGGAGGAGGAGGAGGAGGAGGAGGAGGAGGAGGAGGAGGAGGAGGAGGGGTCGCTCAAGCCCTTCGGAGAAAACCCCCCGCAGCGGCGAGGCAGAAGAGCTGATCCAGCGGGTGGCGATCCCGGGCGACCGCAAGGCGAAGTGGCCGGCGCGCAAGAGGGGAGAGGGGAGACGAGGGCGGCCGCGCGCAGGACCCGAGGAGGAGGAGCGCACTCAGACGCGGAAGACTTCCACGTCGAGGGGGCTGGTGCGGCCAGCCGTGGCAGCGGGGGCCGTGGCAGCAGCAGGGCCACCTACAGGCAGACATAAAATCAAGACAAGGATCATGCAAGACATCCGGGCCAGCTCCCTAAGCTTCCCGAAGCGAGCCTGGGCCAAGTTCGCCCCCTCATGCGGGAGAGCGAACGTGCTCAAGAAACGGGGCCAAAGTTTCCTGCAAGTTTGTTGAGAAACGTTGGCAAGCTTTTCGGGAGGAGGTTTCTTGATCATACGCTCGACTGTAATTATGGTGGCACCTTCGCGGGACCTCGTCTGTCCCGTCGCGCCCCTACGTCCGCGCCGAAACCGCCTCGCATCCACGTCGGGCCCACCTCGAATTCACGCCGGACCCGCGTCGACTTGACACGCGTCGAGTCCGAATCGAGCCAGGACCGGGCTCCAGAAAAGACGCCAAGTTGGGGGAGGGATAACGTCCCCGGAAGATGCAACATGACCTTCTGAGGGTCCCAAGCGATGTCCAGGACGACGGGGAGGAGGGGGAGGAGGAGGAGGAGGAGGAGGAGGAGGAGGAGGAGGAGGAGGAGCTGGGAGTAGCTGAAGGCGGACCGCTGTCCTCGGCCCCACACGGGGCCGCAAAAAAAAGGGGGCCAAACCCAATCCTACTCTTCCTCAACTCCCTCCCAGGCGGGCCGTGCAAGCCCCTGCCCACGTGCTGGTGGGTCGCGAGTGGGGTCGGCAGCATCGCCGCCTGGGCCTCCACTTCTGGGAGGGCGGGGGGGCAGAGGAGGGACCTGCGGCGGGCGGGACGGACCAGCATCAGACGAGACGACCTTTAACGACTCGACAATACGCATCTTGTGCCGCTCCGCCATGGCAGCCAAAATCGGCTTCGGGGGCCCCTCTCTTCGTGGATGGAGCCCCCGTTTCAGGCGGTTCAGGTTTTCCGTCCCCTTCGGGGACGGTCCATCACAGCGACCCTTGAGGGCCCTGGGGTCAACCGTAGTGTAAAATCCACAACACGAGCAACAGGTGAGAAACAACTTCGGGAAGAAACTGCACCTGTGCGTGGGGTGAATCAGTAGCGCCGCAGCCCGTGCGGCCAGCGGGGCGACAGGGCAGGCTTCCACACATAAGGGGGAGGCGCTGGCACACGGGCTCGCAGCGAATGCGTGCAGGCTGGCGTCGGCAACCACCATCCCACACGTAACGCACACCCACTTCGACCCACACTTTCTCAGCTGGTGTGCAGACGACCGCAACAAAAACTCAAGCTTGGGCAGACGAGCGGGGCGCTACTGGCGGCTAGCACGGCTCGACGGCTCATCGGCAGCAGCATCAATCATGGCCCGCCTCGCACGGCGGCGAATCAAGGCAGCAGTGGCGCCGACTCGATCAACGTCAGGCCAGACACCGAGAAGAGCACACTCTCCCGCCATCTCCGCCGCCCGCCCCGCCCACAGATCAGCCGCCGAATTCCCACAGACAAGGACCAGATCCCACTCCGACCGGATCGTAGCTGGCGGATCGCCGCGGTGCGACGGCGTCCAGACCACCGTCAGGGATTCTTTACCATGCCTAGGCTGCCAAGCCTGGCGCGCCGCGGTCCACAGATCCTCGTTTGGCCCGCGGGGCCGAGGGCCCCGCCGGCGGGACCTCCGGGACCGACAAAAAGCGGGAGGTGGTCGGTCGCACACGGGAAATGGGCCCTGGACCTCCGGCACCGCCGAAACCAACGCACAAAAACCTCCGCCACGGGAGCCGTCTGCTTGGCTCCGGCGAGCGGCTTCGCTGGGGCTGCAACTGGCTCAAGTTGGCCATCACTTTTTTTTTACCAGCTCGAGTGGGCGCCCCGTGGCTTAGGAGAGGAGCAGCAGGGGGGGAAGAACAAGACGAGAAGCAGCAGCAGTAGCAAGCAGCGCAGGCAGGCGCGGCCGCGGCCGCCACCTGGCACCCCGGCTTTGCGGGGTACCGCTCTCTGCGCCGGGCGCCCGCAGGCCCACGAGCTCCCCGAGCTCGCCCCCGCAGGCTCAAGATGGCCATCACACTTCGAAGTAGCAGTGATCGCCGTGCCGCAGCGGCGGCGGCGGGGATCATCACTATACTTCCCACCCGAGCCGTCGCCAAACAGAGGAGGAGGAGGAGGAAGAGGAGGAAGAGGACCCTGACTCCTCGAATTCACGCCGGACCCGCGTCGACTTGACACGCGTCGAGTCCGAATCGAGCCAGGATCGGGCTCCAGAAAAGACGCCAATTTGAGGGAGGGATAACGTCCCCCGAAGATGCATCATGACATTCTGAGGGTCCCAAACGATGTCCACGAGGATGGGGAGGAGGGGGAGGAGGAGGAGGAGGAGGAGGAGGAGGAGGAGGAGGAGGAAGAGGAGGAGGAGGAGAGGGAGGAGGAAGAGGAGGAGGAAGAGGAGGAGGAAGAGGAGGAGGAGGACCCAGACTCCTTCGCGCCTAGGAAAAAACTCGCCACGGGATTTTGTTTTGCTAAGTCGGCCTCCGGGGGCCCTCGCCGGGTCCCGGGACCGTCAACAATCCGCCCTGGATGGGAAAAAACAGTCCCCGGGAAATGGTCGGGACTTCAAGGGACCCGGTGAACGGTGCGGTGACGTGGAAATCACCCGAGATCTCCGCCGAGATCCGGGCGTAACAGTATTTCTGCAGCGTGTGTGTTTTCTCCCTCGTTGCGGGCCCCGGGGCCCTCGGGGATCGAACTTATCCCTATCCCCAAAATGGGCGAGCACAAAGCGAGGACAATCTTGGGGATGTGCTCTCAGAAACTGAGGGAAACCTCAAGATCGGCATCGAGGTGAGGTGATGCCAAACACAGGGATAGGGATATGTTTCAAACTTGTAGAAAACCGTGCTGTGACGTCGAAATCCCCCGAGATCTCCACCGAGATCCTGGCGTAACAATTTTTCTGCAACGTGTGTGTTCCCTCTCGCTTCGGGCCCCGGGGCCCTCGGGGATCGGTCCGGCGCGAAGCGTGACGCAGAAAGAGTTCGTCCAGGGCTCCCTGCGATGCTGCATTTTCCGTGGCGTTGGATCTCTGCGTCATCGCACAGTTCGTCACCGCACCGTCTTGGGGCCCTGGAGGTTCAAGTCGCCCGAAACGACCTCAGAGAACAACATAAAGGCAGCAGGGCAAGCAGACAAGCAGGCAGGCAAACAGAACCTGCAAATGCGCGCCGACGAGGCCGCTGCAGACGATCGCCGTGGCGCCGGAATGTCAAACAATACGTTCCACGCAATGGGAAATCATTTAAGTCACTTACCATCGACTCACTGATGCGCTGTCTAGCTACTCCAATTCCTCGTTTCGGGCCAGATCCGCCAAGCTTCGAGTCTGGAATCGCGCAGTCACCCCGAGCCCCACAACGAACAGAGCGAATGAGAGTCAACACACAACTGTGAGTCTGCTCTGTCTGATTACTGCCCGCCCTAGTGGTTGCGTATTAGAGTCTGCCTCAGGACCTGCTCAATGGCCGCGCCAGGGCTCCAAGGCAGCTCGGCGGCGTAGTCGTCGTATGGCTTGAGCTAAAAGAGGTCCAGAAAGACACAAATAAATGAACACAAATCCAATGGTTCCAATGTGTTACATATTCCTTCCCCTCCACTTCCTATATTTTCCCCATACATATCCATGGGAATCGACACTCATTCGTGTCTGTTTTTTTTACCCCTCCTGATCAAGCAGCAGCGACGCGGGGGGCTTGAACGTGTGGTCCATTTTCAGGAATCGCACGATGCCGTGCTTCACGTACCTGCACGGGAACAGCATCGGCACCTGCACCGTGGAGCCCGCCATGGCGGCGCAGATGTGCTCCTCGCCCAGCTGCGTCACCGTGATCTGGTCGCTTGCAAAGGGCAGCGCCTGGAAGCTCCTCTGGAGGAAACAGAAAAGGGAACACAGCCAACCCGTGTCATCAGGATGCGCGGCAAGGATGCAAAGGCCTTGGAGGGCCAAGTTGGCGTTTTTCGAACGAGGTTGGCCAGTGAAAGTCGATGAGGATGGGCCGAAGAGGTAAGGATGCGAGGGCACCGATGGGAAGGTTGCCCATCCTTACTATGCGGGTTGACTGGAGGCATCATGTCTCTAAGGTCCGTGCAGATTTCTTGGATCGGTGCTGGACCCCCCTCCCTGGCGCGCAGAGCGCGCGAGGGGCGGCGCTGGAGACGCCGCCAAGGGGTCCCAACGTCCATCCAAGGAATCCGCGCGGACCTCTAGAAACTGTGTTGATGCATTTGTTTCTTCTTCGATCCTCAGCATCTTCCCAGTCTCTTCCGATCGGGGGCTGGACTGGTCGAACATCGCCCAGATTTTGATATTCGAGTTGTGCAACAGCAGTTCGAAGGCGTTCCGCTGATTGGCCCTGAGCGCCTTGAGGCTGCTCTTGCCGATGCCGCCCGAGCGGGTCTCCGCTAAGGGGAACAAGCCGTCGAGGTTCAACACCAGGCGGAAGCGAAGACGGATGAGATGGTGAGGCGGAGGAGCAAGAGGAGAAGAAGGCGGAAGAGGAGCGGGAGAGGTGGTGACGATGATGTTGATGGTGAAGATGAAGATGAAACTGCTGCTGATAATGATGATGATTGCAATGAGGATGATGATGAGGATTGTGATAATTCAGATGATGATTACGGCGATGCTGATGATGCTGATGATGATGGATACGATGATGTTGATGTTGTGTATGATGATGATGACGATGGTTATGGTGCTGGTAGTGATGAAGAAAATGATGACGATGACGATGGTGATGATGAGCATGACAAGGAAAACGGATGGTGATGATGAGCATGACAAGGAAGAGCAGGATAAGGAGGAGACGGAGGAAGTAAGGAGGAACATAATGACAAGGCGCGGGAGATCGGAAGACGGGCCCACCGGATTGAGGAAGACGTGCGTGATCTCAAGGCGCAGCTTGACAAACTTGAGCATCTTGAAAACAATATTGGAAGACTCCCCACAAGTGACGAGGTGGGCCTTCCGGATCTTCAGGGTGTCCATGAGCTGCGTGACGATCCGCCAGTCCCTCTCGATCCAAACCGAGCGGTCCACGTCGGCCTTTCCGCAAACCTGGCTCAAGCCGAAGCCCGGAAAATCCACCATCAAAACGGAGACGCCAGCCTTGTCACTGCACCGACCTTGCAGACGTGCTGCAGCGGATTGTTGCGCGAATTCCTGTCAGTGCAAAACCCTGAAACGTCGAAGACAAACGAAGTGATTTTAGTCCCCATTCCTGGCCAACCGAAAATCCGCGCGAAATTCACCCCGAAATCGGGAACGAAATTCTCGGGACACTCTGGGCCCATCCTATCGTGTTCCGAACGCAATCTGACTACCTACCAGACCACCCCAACCCAACCCGAAGACCCGAATTTGACCCGAATTTCGGGTTGGGGGGGGTACGGATACCATGTGTTTTTTCAACGTTCCCCGACCTCCCCCCCACTGGAAATCGAGGATAATTTTGGGCCTTCGGGTTGGGTTGGGGTGGTTTGGTGGGTGGTGACAATCAGCGCTGCGAGGTTGGCGCCATGAGCCTTCCACAGCGGGAACACAAGCTTCGACCACGCCCACGAGGACGTGAGCCTGCCGCCGAAGTCGTGGACCATCACCGCCACCGGCCCCTTGATGGCGTCGTCGACTCGGGCTTGGCCAGGAAGGGGGGGCGCGATGGCCTCCTTCGAGAGCAAGAGGGGAGGAGGAGGAGGAGGAAGAGGAGGAGGAGGAGGAGGAGGAGGAGGAGGAGGAGGAAGAGGGAGAAGGAGGAGGAGGAGGAGGAGGAGGAGGATGAAAGTAGCCTTGGAGGAGGAGGAGGAGGAGGAGGAGGAGGAGGAGGAGGAGAAAGAAGAGGAGGAGGAGGAGGAAAAGGAGGAGGAGGAGGGAGGAGGAAGGAGGAGAATGAGGAGGAAGAGGAGGAGGGGAGGAGGAGGAGGAGGAAGAGGAGGAGGAGCTTCTCTTCTTCCTGAGTTCTCAGCCCCCCCCTCTTCCTACAGGTTCCAGCATCTGCTCCTGCCGCCCTTCTGCTGCTCGCCACTCTCCCCCTCGAGCCGCCCCTTTCTGTTCCTGCGAGCCTCCTGCAGCCGCCACAAGGTCAGCGTTTTGAGGTTCGGCGTTTCGACATTGGGCGGACGGGGGGGAATGGAGGGGGTGTCCTGGCTCAGGACCCCTGCCTAGTGCGAATGTTCGAGACCGTGCGTCCCATGGGGGAGAGACTCCACCTGCTCGAAACAGGCGCCAAAAATAGCCAAGACCTACTCCATGGGAGGGGGGGGGAACGGGGATGCGAGGGCCGGCGCCGATCGGCAACACGATGGATAAAACAACGATCGCAAGAAGAAGATGCCCGATCACATCTGTTCTACCATGCGGGCATGGGGGCCTGAACTAGGGCATGTCACATCGAAAACGTTCTCGATAATGCAATCGAAGAAGAGAAAAGGTGGGTCAGTACTATGATATAGTTAGATGGGCATTGCCATCCACATTCGTACGACACTCTGATCTCGTCAAGCATGTGGGCATGAAGATCTGCTTGGTTTGAGCATGTTTCATAGATGGTCAATGTGGCGACCGTTATCTGTGGAGGCCAACAGGGAGCCAACCGTGGCGACGGACGGCTAGGTGGTGGACCCGTAAGAGAAGACAAACTAATGTACAGACCAAACAAAAAACAAAACGCTGACAACAAAACAAAGCCATGCCCCACCCAACTTACAAAGCCAGAACCCAAAACATTGACATACCCAACTTACAAGCAAACTACGCGCAGGGGCCTTCCTGCTAATGCACCGCCTCGCTCCATTTCTCGATCCACCATCCTTGGTCCAGATCATGCGCGTGGATATCTGGTAGGTGTCCTTGACGCTGAAGGAAACCACGCGCGAGATCAGGTGCTTGCGCATCGCTGCCCGCTCCTTCTCCTGGAACAGCTCAGACCACAGCGTCTCGCGGTTCGACGACTGCGGCTGGACGGAGAAGACGGCCCCTCCCTGGTGCTCCACATGGACCTTCCGGTGCGATTTGCCGACGCTGTCTGGCACAGACGCGGTCATGCCTCGCAATTGGGGGGGGGGCGGGGGGAAGGCCTCCTATCGGGAGGACGTCCCGCATGCCCACCAGGCTGTGAGCCAAGACGGTGTCCTCAGCTCCAGGGAATGCGTTCTGTCAAAGTATGGCCTCAGAAATGGAATCGAAAGAACAAGCGGGACATGCATCCTCATTGGCCCGGCACGAGCTCAAGGACAGCCCCACACAAGCCCACGAGGTTCGGAGGGCGACGACGACACCGACGACGACGACGACGACGACGACGACGACGACGACGACACGAGCACAGAGGGTGCGACGAGCGACGGGGAGAGAGAGCGGGACGATGAAAGGGGCGAGGGCAGCGAGGAGGAGGTCGAGGAGCACGACGAGGGCGAGAATGAGGAAGCGGACGGTGAAAAGGAAAAAGAGGGAGGAGAGGCTGGACAGAGGGGGCCGGCGAGGATGCACACGAGCAGACCCTCCCAGGGCCCCGCTCTCCGTCCCTAGTCTAACCAGCCTCGAACGTACCCCTATCCCCAAGAGGGGCGAGCAAGAAGCGAGGACAATCTCAGGGGCAGGCCCTCAGAAACGGAGGGAATCCTGAAGATCGGCATCGAGGTGAGGTGATGTCAAACATAGGGATAGGGATATGTCCTATGTTCCAGGCTGGTCATCCTCGTCCTCTTGACGGCCTCAGGGGCCCGGCGAGGGCCCCCCGGAGGCCGAGCATGGGCAGACACCTCCCGCCGTGGTGCTGCCACGCCGGGCGGTGGAGCCTGGACAGCGAGAGGCCGCGCCTCCGGGCCGGGACGCGCTGGCATGAGCAGTGCAAACCCAGGGGAGGGGGAGGGGGAGGAGGAGGAGGAGGAGGAGGAGGAGGAGGAAGAGGAGGAGGAGGAGGAGGAGGAGGAGGAGGAAGCAGCCGAGCGAGCCCAGGACAGCCCCGAAGCGGCTCACGGACCCGGGTCGGCGGAGGTGGGCCCCGCGTGGCTCCCACGCCGAGGCCCGTCAGAGGGGATCGGGCGAGCCCAGTCAGCGTTGACCCCCCGCGCCTCTCGTCCTCGTGGTCCTCGTCCTCCTTGTCGGCGTCCTAGTCGTCGCCGTCGTCTTCGTCGTCGTCTTCGTCGTCGTACCCCTCCTCCTCCTCCTCCTCCTCCTCCTCCTCCTCCTCCTCCTCCTCCTCGTCGTCGTCGTCGTCGTCGTCGTCGTCGTCGTCGTCGCAGTCGTCGTCGTCGTCGTCGTCGTCGTCGTCGTCGTCGTCGTCGTCGTCGTCGTCGTCGTCGTCGTCGTCGTCCTCGCCGTCGTCGCCGTCGTCGCAGCCGCCTCTGCCACGCTGGCGCCGGCCATGCGCCCACAGAGCCCCGCAGCGCCCCGCAGCCACCGCAGGCCGTGCCGTCACAGGCCGTGGCCGCGCGCGCCGCCGCGGCGGCCGCGCCCGCTGCGGCACTGAGGGCGCTGCGGTCGCGCGGGTGTCTGCCACCCCTGGGGACTTCTGGATCGATCTTGCGATCTACGGCCCACGCGGAGCCCGCCCCGCGGCCCCGCGCGCTAGGTGAATTTCTGTTTCTTGGGAGCTCATTCGCATACCCCGCCTCGGCTTAGTAGCCTCGAAGGGACTTCCGTGTATTACTGACAACCTTCAGTCACCTCCAGTATCTTTTCAGCAGCCTCTGGTGGCCTCAGCGGCGGCCTTGAGCAGCTTCTACTGGCCTTCGGCGGCCTTCAGCAGCCTCCAATAGCCTCTACGTCAGGTTCGTGTCGTGCCGACTTCGGCGTTGGTCTCTGACGCCGTGGGGATCGTTCAACCTTGAACGATCGGCCGTTTCCGAAGCGTCCAGATCGTTGCACATCGAACAACTCTGGGTCGCCCGCGGCGTTCAACATTGAACGTTGCTGGCGGGGTCGCCGCCGGTCGACACGACACGAACCTACCGTACAAAAGTGCAAGAACGGGTGCACTGTGCAGGCTGGAACGAGCCATGAGCTTCCAAACAGACCCACTTCACGGACGGGCGGTTCAGCGAGAGAGGGTGCTCCCGGCGGCCCCCCCTCCACTTCGGGGAGAGGTGTTGGCAGCCCTTCCCAGGTCCCCTTGGGTCTGTAGCATCCAGACGGGGGACAGGGGGGCCAGGCCATCCTGGAGGCTGCAACGACTCGCATGCGGGCCCATGCTGGAAATACAAAGGTCAGGATTCGCTGCGGACAGAATGGCAAGTTCAGGGAAGGTCGCGCTCGCGTGGGCCTGACCACGCGAGCGCGACCGCAAAACAAGAAGCAATACCCATGCCCCGACCTCAAAACAAAAAGCAATACCTCATGGTAGCCCCAACATCGCGCACCACTATTTTTCAAGTTTGGGGCGGCCCGACAGCAGAAATACTACCAGAAGCCCAAAGCATGCAACACAACCAAGCCTGGCCCGCATCTGTGTTTCCAGCCTGCCAGTGGGGCAGCAGTGAGCGCTGCATGAAGATGTCAGCGGCGAGAAAAAACGGGTCTCACGCGAAGTTGCACACAGCGAAACTACACGGTGGCTTCCGCGAAGCGCCAGCGCGGCACGCCACATGGGAAGCGAGGACGCTTTCGCGCCACCTCACGCGGGAACTGTCCCCGAAAATGTCCGCGCAATCGATCCCGCTTTCTTCTGCACTCATGTGGCGGCTACGTTGGTGGAGGTAACCGTGAAGTAAACCAGCGAAGCTATCCATCCGGCGCGACGAGGCATGCTGCAAGCCTGCTCGACGCCTGGAATTTCGGCAGTGCTTCCGCGCCCCTTCGAGGCAGGACTGTCGGTGGAGCTCCCTGGGATGTGAGGTGTGCGCCGGAACGAATGGGCGGGGGCCGCATATGGACGCATGGGGGGGGGGCGGCGAGCCTGGCGTGGTTCTTACCCCTCCCCTCCCCTTCTCTCTCTCTCTCTCTATCTCTCTCTCTCTCCCTCTCTTTCTCCCCCATCATCATCCTCGTTCTCTTTCTCCCCCATCCTCTCCCTCCTCCTCCTCCTCTTTTTCCCTTTCCATCCTCCCTTCTTCGTCCTTCTCTTGCTCCTGCTCCTCCTTCTCCTCCTCCACCTCCTCCTCCTCCTCCGCGTCCTCGTCCTCCTCGTCCTCCACGTCCTCCTCCTCCTCCTCCTCCTCCTCCTCCTCCTCCTCCTCCTCCTCCTCCTCCTCCCTCCCTCCCTCCCTCCCTCCCTCCCTTCTCATCCTCCCTTCTCATCCTCCCTTCTCATTCTCCTCCCTCAGAGACCCAAGCCTCGGGCAACAGTTCTCTACAATCCGGGCGCGCGAAATCCCCATCGAGGCCCTCCAGGGCTAGTTTTTTGGGGGGCCCCCACGGGGCATTCAGCCAACATGGATCCAGGACGAGAATCTGCCACTGTGGAGTCAGAATTAGTGGGGAGCTCCCCCGAGGTCCGACGCTCCAATAAAGATTGGAGCGGCGAGTTTGGGGCCGTTTTCGGCCTGCGGGGGCCCTCGCCGGGCCTCCCCGGGACCGTCAAACAACGACTCAAGAAAGAAACCGGGCCTAGGGAAGTGGTCCGGACCACTGGGGCCCGCGCGTCGAAAACAGTGGAGCGGCCGGATGTCTGGGTCCGGGGCGTGCTTGGGAAAGCTGGAACACTCGGCCACGCGCAGAGGGGGGTATGTAGGGA